CCCTAACACGAACCCTTACCCTAATAGGGGTAGGAGTAGGGGTAGGGGTAGGAGTAGGGGTAGGGTTAAGGATAGAGAGGTAAGGGTTAGGGGTAGGGTTAGGGTTATGGCTAGGGTTACGGGTAGGGTTAAGGATAGAGGTAGGGTTAGGTGTAGGGTTAGGGGTAGTGGCGTACACACAATCCATGGGGGCCCCGGTGCAAAACTGGTCCATGAGCCCCCTGATCCGTGCTCCCCTCTCTCCCCCGATCCGTGCCCCACCATCCCCCCTGACACATACATACATACAGACACACACAAACATACACACAGACAGACACAATCACACATACATCCCTCGACAGACACATACATACAGACACACACACATATATACACACAGACACATACATACAGAGACACAGGCACACACATAGACACAGGCACACACATAGACACAGACACACACACATACAGAGACACAGACACACACAGAGACACATACATAGACATAGACACATACATAGACACAGACACATACATACGGGGCCCCATGGATTGTGTGTACACCACTGCATACATACACACACATACAGAGACACACACGTACATACAGAGACATACATACAGAGACACACACACATACAGAGACACACACACATACAGAGAGACACAGACACACATACAGACAAACTCCCTCCTCCTCCTCCTTCCTCCCGCGCGGGCTGATAGCTGGGAGGAGTGACCGGGGAATCACTTCCTCCCAGCGATGATGCTGACCGGTCCCCTACACAATCCATATCCATCGGGTGGCCCTGACAGCATGGGCCAACCGATGGAGCCCTCCATATGTGGCCCCGGCGGTTTGCCCCCCCCCCCGATTCTCCTCCGTTCCGGTCAGCTCCCTTCTCCTCCACTGTAAGTCTTGCGGTCTGAGTGCCGCGCGGAGCGTTGCCACAGTAACCCGTGGCAACGCTCTGACCACGCGGCTCTCACGAGACTTACAGTGGAGGAGAAGGGAGCTGACCGGAACGGAGGAGAAGGGAGCTGACAGGAGCTGCAGGAAAGGTAAGTTACAGCTCGCTGCCAGCCCCCAACAGGACCACCGGGCTTGTAATGAGTCCAGCAGTCCTGGTCTGTATTATGGCAATGTAAGTTGCCATAATACAGACAGTGACTCGAGAGTAAGACGAATGTGCCTAAAAACTCGACTTATACTCGAGTATATACGGTATGTATAAATATGTCTGAGCTTCTCCCCTCAAACATTTCTGATGGACTTTTGTGTCCCGAAAACTTGCAAAATATTCAGTTTCGTTTGTCAATAAATGAAGGCATCATTTATACAATTATTTTGATATTTTATTCTCATTTAGCCTACTGACTAGAATGGTATAAATAGACCAATTATTTGTAAAAATCACACAAACAGATTACACAGAGTGTAACATATAAGAAGTTGGAGTCAGTGGTGTATTCTGGTTTTGTGGTGTCCCAGGCATGATAAAACTCAGACATCCCTCACCCATCCTCCCCTTCTAAATTTATTTTCCTGTTTAAAACCAAGAAACTATTGCATTGACATACACTCACTGACAGATACACAGCCATTGTCACACACTTTCACAGACATACACACTCACTCATTTACAGTTACACTCACAGTTACACACACACTCACATTCACTTACAGACACTCACATTCCCCAACAAGATACACATTCACACTCACTGACAAGATACACATGCACACTTACTGACAGATACATACTCACTGACAGAAATGCATACACACTCACTCAGTGTCAGACACATATACTCACTGAGAGATACACACTGACAAACACACATACACTCTCACTGGCACACAAACACCCACTCCATGTCAGATCCATATCCACTCTGTGTCAGACACTCACTCAGTGTCAGACACTCATACATTTACTAGCTGACAGACACATACACTAGCTGACAGACATACACATTCATTGATAGATACACATATACACTCACTGACAAACACACATACACACTAACACACTCACTAACAGCACACACAGTAACACTCACACTAACAGACACAAACACACTTACTAACAGACACACACTAGCACCTTCACAATTTATTTTTATTTTCAATCCACCCGTCTCCCTACCTTTGGGAGTGCTGGAGTGGATTTTTGCTGGCTGCAGCTCGGTCCGCAGGGCATGCAGGCTCTGGAAGGCAGGCGCAGGCAGATGCGGCATCTCTGATCTTCCTTCTCAGCTCCCTCACTCACCTCAAAGTGATGCCGTGGCCGGCATGGTCATATTCCGACACCGGCATCACAGATGGGTGCGCGAGGAAGCAGAACAGGGAAAGCTCAGGGGAGCTTACTGCATGAGTAGATGCCTGCCTAGGGGCGGGGCTGAGGTGATCAGCCGGCCAGTTCTTGGCCCCCCCCACAAGAGGCTGCAAGGTATCTGCTGAGGCGATTGGGGGCGTTTTTGTTTTTTGCCGCCCCCTGAAAGTGCTGCCCAATGCAAAAGCCTTGTCAGCCTTGCGCTAAATACAGTGATGGTTGGAGTGTTCCTTTGATGGGTATTCTAAGCAATATAACCATGACAGCACACTGTGGCATTTGTATACTGTGTCTGCTGGGTGGATTAGAAACAGTGACTTACACTGACTAGCTACAACATTAAAACTAGCTGCATAATATTGTGTATGTCCCTCTCATGCTTTCAAAACAGCACTGACACTTTGAGGTGTTGACTCCACAAAACCTCCACAGATACCAGTGGTATCTGGCACCAAGACATTAACAGCAGCTCCTTTAAGTCCTGCAAGTTGTGAGGTGAGGCCTCTGTGAATCAGATTTGTTGTTCCAACAAATCCAACAGATGCTTAAAGGACCACTCTAGGCACCCAGACCACTTCAGCTTAATGAGGTGATCTGGGTGCCAGGTCCAGCCAGGATTAACCCTTTTTTTCTATAAACATAGCAGTTTCAGAGACATTGCTATGTTTATGTTAGGGTAAATCCAGCCTCTAGTGGCTGTCTCATTGACAGCCGCTAGAGGGATTCCACCCTTCTCACTGTGAAAATCACAGTGAGAAGACGCCAGCGTCCATAGGAAAGCATTGTAAATGCTTTCCTATGGACTGGCTGAATGCGCGCACGGCTCCTGCCGCACATGCGCATTCAGCCGAAGAGGAGGAGAGGAGGCGGAGAGCTCCCCGCCCGGCGCTGGAGAAAGAGGTAAGTTTAACCCCTTCCACCCGCTAGAGCCTGGCGGGAGGGGGGCCCTGAGGGTGGGGGCACCCACAGGGCACTATAGTACCAGGAAAACGAGTATGTTTTCCTGGCACTATAGTGGTCCTTTAATCAGATTGAGGATTGAGATCTGGGTAATTTGGAGCCAAGATTTCCCAGCAGCACATTGTTTAGAGCATAACTCCGCCTCGGCCGGCCTGCCTTCTTCCAATAGTGCATCCTGCTTGCCCCCAAGTAAACAATGCACACGCACCCAACCACCCGATCTAAAATAAAATTTGACTTATTACACCAGGCTACCTTCTTCCATTTTGCCATGGTCTAGTTCTGATACTTACATCCCCACTGAAGTCTCTTTTGATAGTGGGCAGGGTCATATTGGGATCTCGGACTGGTCTGTGGCTATGCAGCAAATTGTAATGCACTGTGTGTTCTGACACCTTTCCATCATGGCCAGCATTAAGATTTTCAGCAATGTGGCTACGGGCCAGGGAGGGAGATCTCTGATTGGACAGTGCCAGCCCTGCATTAGCTGGCAGTGGAGAACCTCGGCCTGCCTTGTAAAATCTCTGGGGGTGGGGGGGGGAGGCAAATACACCATTCCCCCCCACCCCGGACCCGCCACTGATTATAGGATAATAGGGAGGCAAGTAGGAACATTGGTTAGTTAGCATGTTAGTAGATATGCTGGAGGGCATTTTTTTATTATTCTTATTGACCCGCACAGGTTTTTTATTTATTTATTTTTGTAAACTTTATTAATCTGGGGGCTGGCTAGCAAGCACTGGCCAACCACCATATAATTAACCCTTGCACTGTGAGGTTATTTAACTATTTACCCCCTGGCTGCTAGCGAGCAAATAGTATTTAAAATTACCATTCCCTTTTATGAAATCAAGTGAATGGATTTGTAAACCCGAATTTTATTCAAGCCGGTGCTTTATGTTTCTCCTAAATCCTATAATTTAATCTGGGCAATTACTGCAGATTTACTCAAGCTGACCGAATTCTGACAGCATTTAAAGCGGCAGTGCTTTAAGACTTTGCAAAGTCCCTCACAGGTGACATAACCACTGGGGGTCCGGTGGCTGAGGGGGGCAGGTAAAGGTGAGATAATTTAGTGTTCAATGGAGTATCCGACAGACCTCAGGATACTTCTTAGACAGCCAATTTCCTGCAGTTATTATTATGTTATTATTATGTTATATGTATTTATACATGTAGTTGTAACCAGACAAGTTGGACACACAGGAACAGAAAGTGCCGTTTATAAGTTGGGGGCCCTGCTTATAATACCGGGAAATTTCCCAGTGGGCCATCGGAACCTGGGGCCGAACAGACAGCTGGCTCTTCTGACGGCCGCAGGGGGGAGATGGCTCTTCTGGCGGCCGCAGGGGGGTGCTGGCTCTTTTGGCGGCCACAGGGGGAGCTGGCTGTGCTGTCTCTGCTCTGCTCCCCTGCCCTCGCGCGCTACTTAATAAGACCGGGCCGGAATATGACCTCATATTCCAGCCCCTGTCTCATTAAGCTGCGCGCTTGGGAGCAGAGCAGAGACAGCACAGCCAGTTCCCCCTGCGGCCGCCAGCACACCTGACCCAGCTGTCTGCCCTGCATGACTCCCTGGCCTGTCGCCCACAGGTAGCTATATTATGTGTCAGTGTATGTGTATGTGTATGTGTCTGTTTCATGGTGCGTGTGTGTGTGTCATGGTGTGTCTGTGTCATGGTGTGTGTCTGTGTGTCTGTCTGTCATGATGTGTGTGTGTGTGTGTGTGTGTCTGTCATGGTGTGTGTGTGTCTGTCTGTGTCATGGTCTGTCTGTGTCATGGTGGGTGTGTGTGTGTGTCTGTCTGTATCATGGTCTATCTGTGTCATGGTGTGTGTGTGTTTGTGTCTGTCAAGGTGTGTGTGTGTCTGTCAAGGTGCGTGTGTGTCTGTCATGGTGTGTGTGTGTCTGTCATGGGGTGTGTGTCTGTCATCTGTCATGGTATATGTGTGTGTCTGTGTCTGTCATGGTGTATGTGTGTGTCTGTGTGTGCTTAGAAATAGTGTTTTTACTCACCTTTTTTTCCCCCACGCAGTGCTGCGGGGCTGGCATCGATTTTTTTTTCCAGGGCTGCTTTGTATCCCCAGTTTGGCCCTGTCAATGAACTTACATGCTAGAGGGAGTGGGGTAAAGTGACACAAAAGGTAAGGATAGTATTAGACTAATGACTGTTGTAAGAGAGTAATCAGTCGGGAGCTATTAACAGTTTAATTGATACGCTTTTATGAAGAAGTGGGTTTTTAATGATTTTTTTGAAGTAATAAAGACTGGGTGAGCATCCAACGGAGGGGGGAATTGTGTTCCACAGGAACGGTGCAGCCCATGAGAAGTTTTAAAGGCGAGCATCAGAGGTGGGAGTACGGACAGAAGATAAACGTAAGTCTTCAGCAGAGCGTAAGGGCCTAGACGGGACACACTGGTGTATAAGGGAGGATAGATAGGTGGGAGCAGCATTATGTAGAGATTTGAAAGCAAGAACCAGAATTTTAAATTGAGCCCTATATCTTACAGGAAGCCAATGTAGGGACTGACAGAAGGGTGGGAGCAGCATTATGTAGAGATTTGAAAGCAAGAACCAGAATTTTAAATTGAGCCCTATATCTTACAGGAAGCCAATGTAGGGACTGACAGAAGGGTGAGGTGCGGGCGGACAGGAAGATAAGCCTCGCCGCCGCATTCCTTATGGACTGTAACGGCGCAAGTTGGGAGCACGTAAGAATACTGAGAAGCAGATTACAGTAGTCAAGGCGAGACAGGCGAGACAGCACTTTAGTCGCATCTGGCGTTAAGTAGGGTCGGATGCGCGCCATGTTTTTGAGATAAAAGCGACAGGATTTGGCGATAGACTGAACATGAGGCGTGAAGGAGAGGTTGGAGTCAAAGAAAGTCAGGTGAACGAGAAATTCAGTGAAATTCCAACACAGTCAAAATAAGTATTTCATAAAGATCTTATCTTTATGAAATACTCATTTTTAATATACGGGGTGACAGTGCCACTTTAACTTTAGTAAATATGAGAATTGCCCGTGTGGAAATCAGTCATTATTAAGTGAATAACCCTTTTGTCTTCAAGAAGGTCTCTTTTTTTTAATGTTAGCTGTTTACTGTACTGTTTTTATTATGTTTCTTTTGTATTTCACATGCATATATTATAAATATAGCACGGGAAAATGTATTAATCTTTCTTAACATTTCAGAGCATGCTGTGGAGTTTCTGTCCAGTCCATGGTTGACCAAGTTTATCCCATCTTTATACACCGTAATATTTATTGTGTCGCTGCCATTGAATGTAATGGCCATCATCATTTTTCTCTTCATGATAAAGATCCGAAATCCAGCCATCGTGTATATGTTGAACCTGGCAGTTGCTGATGTATTGTTTGCAAGTGCGTTACCTTTCCAGATAGCTTATCGTTTCTCTGGAAGCAACTGGATCTTTGGTTCTGGAATGTGCAGTTTTGTCACAGGGGCCTTTTACTGTAACATGTACTGCTCTGTCCTTCTTATGACGAGTATCAGCGTGGATAGGTTCCTGGGAGTGGTCTTTCCAATCCAGTCTCTTTCCTGGCGCACTGTGCATCGTTCCTGGTTGGTCTGCATTCTAATCTGGGTGATATCCACAGCAAGCATCGTACCTCTCCTAATAACAGAGCAAATTGCGTACATCGTTACATTGGACATTATCACCTGCTACGATGTGGCACATGAGAATGAATTACAGACTTATTATCTTTACTATTTTTCTTCTTTTTGTTTAATTTTCTTTTTCTTTTCCCTGGTCTTTACAACCATATGTTATGTTGGAATCATCTGTAGCCTCCAGTCCTCTAATACTGGTGGTGCCTTTAAGAGAAGACACACTGTATTACTGTCCATTGTTGTATTTTGTATCTTTATAATTTGTTTTGGACCAACCAATGCCATCTTTCTAAGTCACTTTTTGCATTTTTCCAATGAAATTAAAAAATCACTGTATTTTGCCAAGACTCTGTGTGTCTGTGTTGGCAGTATTAGCTGTTGTCTTGATCCTTTAATTTATTACTATGTATCCCCTGAATGTCAAAAATGTGTGTACAGGTTTCTCAGCTGTAAGAAGACTGCAGATTTCAATGTGGTCAGGGCACTTTTACAAAATGTGGGTCATAGTAAAGATCTTTAAAGAGACACTATAGGCACCTAGACCACTTTACATTGCAGGGTTAAGTCTCCCTCTAGTGGCTATCTCCTCCAGCAGGACACCAAAGTATGGGCTGAGGGACACTATATAGTTAAGAATACAGTTTTGTACTCATAATCCTGTCGTGTTCCTTTGACCCCCTTAAGGACCAAACTTCTGGAATAAAAGGGAATCATGACATGTCACACGTCATGTGTCCTTAAGGGGTTAAACCCTTAAGGACGGAGGCTCGTACAATATCTAATTAAAACAAAATCTGGAATTTAAGCTATATATCTTTTGAAGCATAATTTATCTCTTTCATATTAACTACACCCACATTTATTATTTATAATTTTGTTCAGGAGAAATAGGGCTATCATTTCACATCAAATATGTATATATGAAACATAACTTAATATGAATAAAATCTAAAAAGTATGAAGAACTTTTGTCTGCATGATATTTTAGCTGTAATACTGTTACCTTTTACTGCAATAAAGCACACATGTTTGTTTTCATCGATGTATGGGTTTCATTGTGGTTTGGAAAGTTAAATTAGGATTAAATACAGGAATTGCAAATAAAATTCTCTGGACTTTCTGCCAGGCAGTCCACCTGCAGGCAGTGCTTTGAACTGCCATTCTGGCCATATGATTGTGATGTATATGTGGGCAGAATACTCTGACCCTAATGAGTGGAGAAAATGGGAAGAGTAGGGTCTAGTTGGATAAGACCGTGGCTAAAAGTGATCTCAACTAGTATAAGAGGCCCCCCATAAAGGCTAGGAAAAGTAAATAAATAGTTATAGGTGCAAAGCCCTAAACGTACCAGGAGATCTAATACCAAATCCTTGCGTAGAGAGAAATATAACAGAACATCAAAGCATAAGTACAAAATAAAATAAAAAATGAAAAATAGGTGAAATTAGAAAGTATGTATAAAAAGAATATGTATAAAAAGAAGTGGATGGGTGAAAACAGATAGTGAGTGAATGGGCAGTGGAAAACCAGTAAAAGAGGAGGTCTGTAGATAAGACTAATGCGGGCATATAAAGAAGTGGGAAAAGAGAGGGGAACTAAGGGGAGTGGAAACTGCTGGGGGGATGATTGGCCATATGGTGAATACGATATGTAGCAGCAGCAATAAAAAATACAAAATGCAGTAAAAAACAATGACAAAAAATAAAAGCCAGAAAAAATAATACAGATAATACAAATGGATTATATTGATAAAAATAGGAGTAAAATACTGGAAAAAATACAGTGCTAAAATAAAAGAGTCCAATAAATGTCTAAAGAGCAGCCAATATCGAAAAAATAGTCCAATCAGCTTGTAAAGTCTTGAGTTCAAAAGCAGAATAAATTCTGTGGAAACAATGTAACCGATGATACAGGATGCTTATAACCAAATCATGATTGGCAATAGCCACAATGTATCAATAACTGTAATAATATACCCACAGTGGTAAATAGCAAATACAGTCGTTCTGATAAAGCAGCTGAAGCCACAATTCAATATCTAGATCACTGGAACAGATCTGTAGTGTCTTAATCTCTCCATAAGGAATCTGTCAAAGACAGCTGTGACGAGAGCAATCTCGCCACATTGCATTGGAGAAGCCTGGTTGCTCGCCTGTTGCCTTTGGATTGTGGACCCATGTTAAAAGACTTCTTTTCCCCTGCAGAAAATACTTATTCGTGCTTTTCTGCCCGGTGTTCGGTAGATTCAACCTACTGAACTAACACACGAATGACTGGACCACCTGGGAGCTGGAGTGTGTTGGCTATTACACTCCCAGAAGGTGAGGTTAACCGCAGCTTAATTGACGAATACTGGGTGGCCGCCATTCGTATACCGAACACGAGGTCGCGGCCATTTAAAACACGCGAACGCACAGCGGTGTTCGACGCCCAACTCATGGAACTGAAAACGGATGCATTTTGGTGCGAACCCCGCTGAAGCCGCCGACCTCCCTTCTTGTTCGGTAGAAGTGCACGAACGGCCCTGTATTCGGTAGTTGTACCTGACTACACCATACCCCAGATAGGAATCCCGTGGAGCTCATTCGTATGAGAACTGACTTTGTGAACACTTTGGCTCCATGTCGATTAAACTGTATCCGTGTGGTCTGAGCGCCATTCGCTTAATAATGTGCACTCAGACCTGAGCTATCTGGGGATATGTTAAATGTATATATGTATTGTAATCTTTCTAACATGGGGGATTTTAACAGTAATTCCTGTATTGGTATCCCCACGTGCATAATGGCGATTTGCCTTTGTCCTGGGAGATAATTGAATTACTTCTCAATTATCTCCAGGGCAGAGGGGAGGAAGCCAGGATGCATTGTGGGAATATAACGTGACTGTGTGTCCTAGATTGATGCTTGTCTGTCCTTTGTTACAGTCATAAATACTGGGCAGGTAGCCCTCATTTGGAGTGCTATATTGTATGCAGTTCGGGAGTTTGGAGTGCTATATTGTATGCAGTTCGGGAGTTTAGAGCATTCCCTTATATGCAGTTCGGGAGTTTGGTGTTCTACAGTAGCTGTGCCTGTATCTCTGGAAGGGGAAGATCTTCTAAATGGCGGTTTAACCCTTTTATGCTGAGGGTGCCGTTACAACAGCAAACACCCATTGTGTTTAAGACACTACAGATCTGTTCCAGTGATCTAGATAATGAATTGTAGCTTCTGCTGCTTTATCAGAACGACTGTATTTGCTATTTACCACTGTGGTTATATTATTACAGGTATTGATACATTGTGGCTTTTGCCAATCAGAAATAACATTTTATTAAAGGGACACTGTAGTCATCAGAAGCACTACAGTTTTAATGTAGTGGTTCTGGTGCCTATAGTCTGTCCCTGCAGGCTGTGCACTGTAAACGCTGCCGTGTCAGAGAAAAAGCAGTGCAAACATTGCTGCCTATTCGCTAAGCACAGGCACATGGGACATTTAGGGTCAAATTAGGATTAGAATTAGAATTAGGAATTTAGGAGCAGAAGGAACAGCTGATCCGCATCACTGGATGTGACATGGGGTAGGAAATCTTCCGAACCATGTGATCCCAATGACATCGCAATCACATGGCTGCAATGGCAATCTAATGTATTGCCTGGGTTGTCAGGCAGATCCCCAGAGCTGAAATAATGAAAAATATTATCACAATCAATAGTACTCGTGTACTTGTGAGACATCACTGAACACAACTATGTGTATTTTATTGTACTGTAAGAGCTGTTATGACATTCACAGTTAAGATACAATGCAGAAGTTGAAAAATAATATTTCTTAATTTGAAATAAGTGAAATAAAAGTCAAGTTTCTCTAGAACAAAGTGAATTCCCCCTCTTATGAAAGAGGTAAATTATGGTTCAACAGACATATTGTCTAATTCCAGGTTTTGTTTTGATCAGAGAGTACAATTGCCTCCATCCTTTTAGCAAAGTGCTAAAATGCCAAAAAATCTTTAAAAGCGCATAGAAATAAAATGAATTATATAATATACACTGGACAAAGCATAGTGGGAAATATTAAAGAGACACTATAGTCACCAGAGCAACTACAGCTTAATGTAATTGTTCTGTGCACTGTGTGTCCTGTATTATTGAGGAATTGTCCATGAGGTAGTCCCTAACAAGGACGGAATGTGTAGGACTTAGCACTTTCCTACCAGGGTGACATACTTCACCTTCAACGGTGTAATTAAATAAATGTGCATTGTGCACTTTAACTTTACAACCTTTTGAACTGATTTCACTTTGCCTTTTTTGTCATTACCACAATTAAATCTCATCTCTACCAATCATTTCTGAAGGCTGTTTATTTGGCTTTAAAGTGTGAGTAGCGAATTGGCATTTATATTTTTTTAAAAATTATATTATATAGTTTTGCATGTTGTGCTGTCTTCATCTATCCTAGCAAAAAAGACTCTATATTTAACCAAGGCAGTCCCCCTACAGGCAGAGCACCAGACAGCCGATCCGGCATGTGATCGCAATTTTATCGCAATCATATCGCACAGAAAGGCTGGTTAAGCTGCAGGGGGACTGCCTGGGTTGTCTCCCTGAAGAGAATCACTGAGGAGGGCATTAGTTAATTAGACTACCCTTTGCTTGCTTTGCTTCCTCTTAACCCTCCGCCAGAACCAATGCAATTGGGTTCTACCAAATTGCCTGAGGAGGAAAATCAACGCAGAAAGAGGGAAGGCTTATGCCTATCACTTAAGGAACACCTGCCCTGACCTTCAGGGAAATGCCAGCACCTAAGCGAGGGGCTGGCCTTGGGTGTTATGAAGTTATCCCCTCAAGGTGACTCAACTAGACCATATGAAACGGTCAAGCTGCTTGTAAAAGGTAATACCATCATCACCACGGCTCCGATCGATCCAGGTGCAGCAGGTTACTTTATGGATCAGCCTTTCGCTGAAACCTCTGCCCTGACTCTGATCAGGAAACCCACATCCTTGGGCTCTCGATGTTTACAACACCGCTATGAAACTATGTAACTGTGTAACTATTTCAGTTTCTTTCATGATTTACGATCCCAATTTTAATACTTGTCCTATTGCCTTATTTTGTTGCCATAACTTGTCTCCCCTATCTAAGTTATTAATCTGGATGCAATAAACAAGTCTATTTCTGTCATACTCAGGAACTAAAAATGTATTATGGGATTTATTTGGAATTTCTATAGATTGCATGTAACTTTACACGCATTCCAACAGAGAGCCTAATAAAAATAGGACGTTATAAGTTTATCTTATTTCCTCTTCTTTACAATGGTTTTCCCAGATACATGCAGATCATGGAATTAAATCGAACTATTCAGACGTAGAATAAATATGCAGCTCTTATGCCACCATTAAGAGAAACTAACTATAACTAATAAACAGTACACACATTATTGACAAAAGAAAATGCTTGGAAACAAAGACATGTATTTTTCCAGGATTAATTTGCTTGAACTGCCTAATGCCAAATACTTAATTGTATAATTTAACCAAGAGAGGAAAGGATACACATTTCTATGTCAGTATCCTGTTCTGTTAAATCACTTCATTATTAATAACTATTTACCCTCATTATCAGACGTTCTGTAAGAATCCCAGAAAAGGATAGAATGACTCCCCCAATGACCGTGGTGCTGCACGGAGCAAGCACAACCAAATAACATTCCAGGACTTTAGGGACAAGCTTGTGATGACGACAGAGCGTACCATTTTGACTCTGAAAGGACAAACATAAATATTTATCTGTTGGGACGAATTTCAGATACTGTGTGATATTTCTTAAGAGATGGAGTCCAGGCTGATGTTAGTGCTGTATTTTCTGTGTGTGATCTGCTCATGTTATCAAGCTCAGAGTAACAATGGGACAAATGGTGAGTAGGAGGTCATCGGATACACGCTACTTTAAAATAATTAACTAAACCTATCAGAGATATTACCGTGTTTAATGACGATAAAAAATCATGTATTTCTTGCAATTTCAATATTAGAGGTGGTAATATTTCTTAGCACTGTACAAGTATTAAATTACATTGTTCATCAAATGTTGCCAAGGGGATTAACATCCAGAATGTATTTTCTCTCATATTTATAAATACAAGGAAATTGTTCTCTCTAGGTTTACAGAAATGAAAAGGGAAACTACTAACCCCTTTGCAAAATTCTGTGCATCAGTGACTGAGGACTTTTTCCACTTTTGCTGTGTTCCAATGTACTTTCCTGCTTTTCTATTACATATAAATATATAAAATTATATATATGTAGATAGATAGAAATAAATAGATTATTATTATTATTGTTGCCATTTATATAGCGCCAACAGATTCCGTAGCGCTTTACAATATTATTAGAGAGGGGGATTTAACTATAAATAGGACAATTACAAAAAAACTTACAGGAACGATAGGTTGAAGAGGGCCCGGCTTAAACAAGCTTATAGTTTATATATACACACACACACACACCTATTATATGTATATAAAACAAAGGAATATTTTGAACAACTAATAAGTAACAGATAGCTTATATTAAAAACAAAACAAAAACTCAATGGTCATATAGATAGATAGATAGATAGACAGACAGACAGACAGACAGATAGATAGATAGACAGATAGACAGATAGAAAAGGAGAAATAACAGAATGAAGGATTGATCGCCTCGTAAGGGAAACGGGCTGATCACCTCCAAGCCACCCCAAAATAACGTCTCAAAAATAATAAACAATTTTATTAGGAAAAACCTTATTAAAATCAAAGAAGAGAGAACACACCTATCAATAGGTAAATAACTAGAGCCTAATGATTACAGAGTATGGCTAATTTGCATATGTATATAATGTAACAAACTCTTATTAGTAGAGTATAGGATGATAATACATGTATAAGTGTATAAGGACCATAGACCGTGCACTTTAAGCCCAATGCAGAATATAGAATATGGCTAAATAGTACATATAAATACTGTAATAAACTCTTTTACAATAGAGTAATAGATAATTATATATGTAGGTGTAAAAAGCCATAATTCCTGCACTTAAAATCTAATAGCTGCAGAGTGTAGGTAAATTGACCATGTGTGAATGTAACAAACTCATTATGGAGTAAAACAATAAGTAACAATACATGCCACAATAATAGCCATAAACTCTGCTGCTATACCTACAGGGTTATGCTGTAAATGGAAATCGAAAGGATAGAGAAGGGCATAAATAGGAGAAGAAAAATAAAGCAGAAAGACCTAGTTATAGATCTAAATAGAAAAGACTAGGTCTAAATGCATAAACCCAATAAACAGCCCAACTATCCCTATATAAGATATCCAGAGCTAAAAAATCGCTCAGTGCTACTAAACCACAATGCAGGAAAAAGGACAAAAGAAAATAAACTAAATTAAATACATAAGCAGCCCAACGCGCGTTTCGGTGGATTAACCACCTTTCTCAAGGGCACAAAGTAAAGTGAAGCAAACAGAACATTCCCCCTCGATCCATTTAAATATTGGTAGTACCTCCCAGCTCATCTAATTAGTCAGAGTGCGTCCATACAGAAACTCCGTCTCAGGGGAGGAGGGGCAGAGATGACAGCACGTATCGCAAGTCCCAACGCATGCGTATACATATATATTAGCGCGCAGGCGCGGGGACTTAGTATCAGACTGAGTGCCGTGCGAAACGCGCATGTCATAAATCCACGCATGCGCACATGATGAACCCAGTGTACAAAGTATCAGTTCGTGCGCATGCGCACATGCGCACATAGTGAACTCAATATACAAAGTATCGGTTCGTGCGCATGCCAATATATGAACTAAGTACCAAATCATCCTATTTCGATTAAGGAAACAGGATGCTACTCAGTTTAATGTACGGGCAAATATAGTTACAAATGGTAACAATCACTCCATGTGTGGACAAAAAAGAGAGGTAGAAGGCTAAGACGGTCCAAATATGGAATAAAAGGAGGAGGGGGTTCCAAAATATTACTAATAAATAAATAAACAAACACCAAAAAAAAGGATATTAGGTTCCCATCATATTTACAGTTGACCACACACATATATTATAGAGAGACAAAAGAGTGGTAAAGAATACTAATAACAGATAAATAAGATAAAGTGATACTAGGCTGAATATAAAGATATATATATACATCTCCATCATTATCCAATGATATATATATATATATATATATTAGAGCAGAAACGGCAATACCTCCATCAATCTATAATTATTGACATAATCTATATCTATATTAAATTGGTACAGGGAAAAGAAAGTGCATATGCATATACAGTGGTGTATCCTGGTTTTGTGCTGCCCTAGGCAGGACAAAACTCAGGCGCTCCCCCCGCCCACCCCACCCAACCCTTCCCCACCCCACCCATACACACACACACATTCAGACACAAACACACACAGTCAGACACACACACACACACACAGTCAGACACATACACAGACACAAAGACAGTCAGACAGAAACACAGTCACACAAACACACACACACACAGTCAGACACAAACACACACACACAGATACAAACACACACACAGTCAGACACAAACACACACACAGTCAGACACACACACACACACACACAGTCAGACACAAACACACACACACACACACAGTCAGACACACACACACACACACTCACAAACACAGTCAGACACAAACACACACACACACACAGTCAGACAAACACACACACACACACACACAGTCAGACACAAACACACAACACACACACAGTCAGACACATACACACACACACACACACAGACACATACACACACACACACACACACACAGTCAGACACACATACACAGTCAGACACACACACACACACACAGTAAGACACACACACACACTCACAAACACACAAACACAGTCAGACACAAACACACACACATACACAATCAGACACAAACACACACACAGAGTCAGGCACAAACACACACACACAGTCAGACACACACACACATTAACTTTTTTATTTAAATCCCCCCCCAACCTCCTTACCTTTGGGAGTGCTGGGGGGGGTCTCTCTCCCTGGTGGTCCGGTGGCTGCAGGTCAGGCGGGCGGTGCTGACAGGCGGGCGGCCGGCGAGGGTGCACTACCTATGAGCTGACTGCTCAGCTCCCTCGCGCGCCGGCTGCAGAGTGAGCTGGGAGCCGGAAGATGACGTCATCTTCCGGCTCCCAGCCTCACTGTGCGGCCGCGAGGGAGCTGAGCAGTCAGCTCAGGGGAAGTGCTCCCTCGCCGGCCGCCCACCTGCCTGGGATGTCAGTTAGCCGCAAGGCTAACTAGGCATTTGCCCTGGGCATTTGGGGGGCGGCGTTTTTTGCCGCCCCCTGAAAAATGCCGCCCAAGGCAAATGCCTTGTTTGCCTCGCGGCTAATACGCCCCTGTGCATATATGTACACATAGAGGAACTACGTACATGTATATGGATATATACAGTATAATATTCAAATGATAGCATTCTATAAGAAACAGGTTATATGAACGGGGCAAAGGAGAAGCCCTCATTAAGACCTAGAGGTTGAAGTATCTTAAGTTCATAGATCCATCTTGACTCCCTCTGTCTTAATACTTTGTCATAATCCCCACGTCTCGGGGTCCTTTTAACCAACTCCAAACCACAAAACCTAAGGTTATTGGAGTCCCCCTGATGATATTCTTTGAGGTGTCTCGATATGGGTGTCTCGAGGCGATTAGACAGATAGATAGACCACCCGCAGGGGCATATTAGCCGCAAGGCAAACAAGGCATTTGCCTTGGGAGGCATTTTTCAGGGGGCGGCAAAAAACGCCACCCCCCAAATGCCCAGGGCAAATGCCTAGTTAGCCTCGCGGCTAACTGACATCCCGAGCGGGCGGGCGGCGCTGGCAGGCGGGCGGCAGGCGAGGGAGCTCTTCCTCTGAGCTGTCCGCTCAGCTCCCTCGCGCGCCGCAGAGTGAGGCTGGGAGCCGGGTTGATGACGTCATATTCCGGCTCCCAGCCTCACTCTGCGGCGCGCGAGGGAGCTGAGCAGTCAGCTCAGAGGAAGTGCTCCCTCGCCAGCCGCCCGCCCAGCAGCCAGTGCCGCCCAGCAGCCACTGGACCACCAGGGAGAGAGAGGGCAGCACAAAACCAGGATACACATATAAAACATGCCAAAAATACACAGAAAATATCCATGAACCCCCTCAAATTCTATATCCTCGGATAGCCTGGATCTTAGCCAACAACATATCCAAAAAGTGCTCAGATCCCATGAACACAGACGAAACGCCACTGGGGTAAGGTTTTGACCGACCGCACACGAGGCTCCTGCCCAAAATAGATCCATGAAATCAGTGCTAGCGATCGGTATCTTTTGGGAATACAAAAGTGAACAAAATACTGAACATAATACATAATTACAATGTGTATTTTGTTCACCTCATCCATGCGAAGGATTTCACCGAACAGTGCCCTTCTAGGTTGTGTAGAAACGAATGCAGGCGATGATGGAAGTCCAGTGGAGGTTCTGTGTCCGATTTTAGTTCCATGAGCTCGACGCCCAAACACTTCCTGCGTTTGTGGGAACAAGATGGCCGCCATGTCGTGGTCATTCATATAAGTCCAGCTGTGTTTGGGACTTTCAGTGTCCGATTTTAGTTACCGTGTGCTTGTTAAGTCCAATTGACACCTTGTAGCAATTTCCACCTCCACCCAAGCGCTAGGGTGGTATGCAGCCCGGCCTGACCAGTGGATGGCTGAGGACTGTATGCCAAAGGGTGAGGACTATAATGGCCCAGGCTTATTGTGGGAAGCCTTTGAGAAAGACATTAACTTTGGTAGCTCGGCAGAATTTCGACTCTGGGAAATCCACAGTACTAGGGAAGCCCTGATGGATCTTCCTAGAACTGACGACTTCACAACCAGCTCCAGAAATAGAAGACCTTATAGACTGGTCCTGGGAAGATATCCAGTTGGCTGGTGGAAGTGGGACCAAGGTCTCTACATCAACCCTACAGGGATACGGAGAAGACTTCCCAGATCTCCTGCAGCAGAGTAAGCTCCAGGGAGAGGAGACAACTGGTCCCTCTCCCCCACCCCAGCTGGAGATGCCTGGGAGTGGGGACAGTCGGTCCTACTCTACAGCAGCAGCATACATTACAGGGAGAGGAGACAACCAGTCGCTCTTCCCAGTGGCAGCAAGAGATACCGGGAGAGGCAACAACTGGTCCCTTGCCCCAACCACAGTGGGAGCTCATGGGAGTAGGAACAACCAGTCCCACTCCCCAGTGGCAGTGCCTGTTATCAGGGGACAGGACACCTGGAGCAGATGGTACAGATGGGACCAAGGTCTCTGCACCAGTCCTACAGGGATGCTGGGTCGCCTTCCTAGATCCCCAACCATAGCTGGAGTGACAGGGAGAGGAGACAACCAGTCTCTCTCCAAAAAAAAGCAACCAGCATCACTGGAAGTGGAAACAACTGGTCCCACTTCGCAGCATCAGCAGGCATCTTTGGAAGTAGAGACAACAGGTCTCTCTCCCCAGCAGCTGTGCATTCTTCAGGGAGGGGAGACAACTGGTCCCTCTTCCCCCCAGCAGCAAGCAACACTGGGAGTGGAGCCAACTGGTCTCCCTCCCCAGTGACAGTGCCTGGCGTTAGGAGTCACCAGTGATGAAGGACGCTACCTACAAAGCAAAGTAGACTTATCAGGGCAGAGCGTGGCACAGGAGGCTACCGGTCAGCTATTTGTTTTTGGGTGGGCTTCTCGACTACCTGGTTAGTCTTCCCTTGGGTGGGGGTTTTGTGGCAAACGTGACCTCGCCACGGGCTCCTGGAGAAGCCTGCTTTCCAGCCTCCTGCCTCTGGACTATGGGCCCTGCAGAAAGAACAGTAAAGTACATTTTAAATGGCTTGGTTCGTGTAATTTCTGAACAAACGCACGAACCAGGGACCATCCGTGTGCTTGTTAAGCCCAATCGACACTTGTAGCGATTTCCACCTCAGTGTTCTAATTGTTCATCTGGGTGGCCGCAGTTCGTATGAACGACCACGAGGTGGCAGCCATCTTGTTCCCATGAACCCAGGCAGCAGTGTTTGAGCGTCGAGCTCATGTAACTAAAATCGGACACTGAAAGTCCCAAACACAGCTGGACTTATATGAATGACCACGACATGGCGGCCATCTTGTTCCCACAAACGCAGGAAGTGTTTGGGCGTCGAGCTCATGGAACTAAAATCGGACACAGAACCTCCACTGGACTTCCATCATCGCCTGCATTCGTTTCTACACAACCTGGAAGGGCACTGTTCGGTGAAATCCTTCGCATGGATGAGGTGAACAAAATACACATTGTAATTATGTATTATGTTCAGTATTTTGTTCACTTTTGTATTCCCAAAAGAGACCGATCGCTAGCACTGATTTCATGGATCTATTTTGGGCAGGAGCCTCGTGTGCGGTCGGTCAAAACCTTACCCCAGTGGCGTTTCGTCTGTGTTCATGGGATCTGAGCACTTTTTGGATATGTTGTTGGCTAAGATCCAGGCTATCCGAGGATATAGAATTTGAGGGGGTTCATGGATATTTTCTGTGTATTTTTGGCATGTTTTATAAATTGTTATAGTTTTTGTCACTGAGAGATAATTAAATTAGACGTGTTTGCTCAGGTAATTATCTCTCAGGCACAGAGGATCATGGGAGGGATTTCCCTGTAATGTTGTATTGGAAACCCCTTGCAGGGGCTTTTGCATAAAAGGCCGTGTGTGACCTCTAATAAACTAGACTACTCCCAGCATTAAGCCTCGGCTCATCTGTGGAGGGAACAGCTATACTGCTATAAACACTGCTATACCTGCTATACTCTCTTGGAGGAGAGATCTTCCCACTGGGAGCTGGATCCAGGTGTTGGTCCAGGGTGGGAAAGGATGGAAAGACCCCAGCCAAGCTGCGGCGTCTAAGGGGGGAGCTTATGGTACTAGGTGACTACTAGGAAGTGCGATTGGCGGAGGTACCCAGTCAGGGTGCCAGGCGGTCCACCACAAAGACCATCTTCTCTCTTCTCATGGGAATGCAATGCATGTTAATTAACAGTGTTAGAGCAAAGCATGTCAAAGGCAGTTCATGGCCCTCTGCCCAGAAGAAGCTCAGCTGGTGTTTGTCCAACTTCTGAGGTGATATGGACCTCTGGCTTGTCGTAGTCACTGTGGTCTTGAAGTAGTTCTTGAAAGTCTGTACGAACCACTCTGCTTGACCATTGGTTGCTGGGTGGTAAGGATTGTTTTGATATTATGAACAGTAATAAAACTCTGGAAATCATGGCTTGTGAATTGGGCACCATTATCTGTAACAATCTCCCTGGGATACCCAAACATGTAAAGAGGTGCAATAATATAGCAATAGCTGTTTTTACAGTTGGTTGGGTAATTGGAATGACCTCAGGCTTTTTTTGAGTGGGCATCAGTTATAATCAAGAAGGTTTGTACTCTTATGGGACCCTGCAAAATCCAAGTGAAGGCAAAACCAGGGAACCACGGGCCAAGTCCAGGGCTTAATACATCTTTGTGAAGGGTGGTTTGTGCACATCCTACACAAGCATTGCCACATGCTGTGACATCTATGTTTGGCCACCATAGTTAACCTTTTGCTTTCTGTTTCATCCTTGTGGTACTAGGGTGACCAGTATGTCTATTGTTTTTAGAATGATCACTTGCTTTCTGTCACGGCTTACCTTTAGTTGGGAGTCCGGTAGGCAGAGATTAATGCTCATCCTTGCAATTAAACACAGGCCAAGGAGGTCAGGTAAGAATTCACCTGGCCTGTGAGTCTGTACACAGGGGCTGTGCATGATATTGATCCAAGTCGTGGTACAGGTAAGGACACAAACAGGAGAATCGTCAAGGGTAAGTCAAAGTCAGAGGATGCCAGAAGTCAGGATACACGGTAAGAAAGCCAAAGTCAGGAGCCAACTGGAGAACACTGGAATCACGAATACCAACACAGGAACCAGAGTCAGCGAAAGGCAGTGTCTTATACTGGTCTAATTATGCATCTTATACAGGTGGACCATGATTGACAGTAGCAGTCACAGGTAAGTCCAGCGCCCAGTGCTGGAGACATGGCAGGGCTACGTTTCAGGCCAAACCAAGAACTGAAGTAGCTCTGAGGTAAGAAAACAGGCTTGGAACCACATAGCACTCAGGTTCAAATCCCTTGTTGGGCACTTCAGGGGTGATCTTGTCTGGATGTCACGGTGAGAAATGTTACAATTTCACTATAAGACACATTGCCCATTCATGTTTTCCTTTATTTAAAACACAAACAAAAAAAAACCTTTGTTTTCAAATAAAATTACTCCTGCTGCTGTTCTCCTATTTTCAAATGTCTTTTATTGTGGTTTTGTCCTGAATGGATAAGTCTTGTGATATAACAATACTTGCTAAGTTTGTGGTCGCAGCTAGGGGTATCCGGTAAGACAATGTTTGTTTCCACACTAAAGGATGGTCACTAACGCTACAAACAGGATGTGTGGGAAAGATTTGTTATTCACATGGTGTAAATGGTGAGTGAGTCATCAATTGGCCAGTCCCCACTTACTTTTTCCTTAGAAAATGAACTGACTGTCCTTTAGTGTGGAAAAAAAACATTGCCCTCTAAGCTTCTGCAAAATGCGTCTCCAGAGGTAACAGGCATAGCAAAACTCAGTCAGGTTGGGCGAAACCACAATGAAAGGCATTTGAAAAAGGGGGTGCAGCAGCAGGGAGTTATTCATTTATATTTGTTTTTCTATTAAGATTTTTTTTTTAAATGTTTACTTGTCCATAAGTGTGAGGGACATTGGCTCCTCAATCATGAGGTCCACAACCAGCCACATTGGTTGCATCACACTAGAGTCCAGAATCCAGGCTGGGGACAAGGAATTGTATTTCCTGACACCATTGTGTTCAAATGACAAATTTTATTCCTCCAAACAGTTAACAAAAGTAAAATTAACTTGTAAGATCAGTATTCTAGAATTAATGACCCATGCTAGTTCAGTTTTGTTTCCCTGGTTACTTTCCAAGGCAAATTATGTCTATACTCTCATTTGCTTTGTTCCTGATAAAGATAATTTTAGATTTTCAGGGTTATTCACTAAACACCAGATTTTCCAGAAAAAAAGCACATATAACTTACATTAATGCAGGGGCACGGTGCACATTGAACAAACTTCTTGTGATCAACAGGGTTCCTCTGCTGCTTGTTGGGTCACACATGAGGAGTGTGGGTGTCCATACAACCCATTCATTCTCACCTGGACTTTAAACACTGGATTTATTGGATGGATGATATCTGGTGAATATGAATTCCAACCGCAGTGGCAATTCTCATACTTACTCAAGTCAAATACAGTTGGTTCAAGTAAATCTACAACAACCACCCAGATGCATTCGGTGTCTAGATTAAAATCAGTGTTTTTCACATCCAAACCCCTATACAAAACATAGGATTTGGAATCTTCGCAAAGCAACGATTTTTACAAAAATTTGGGACCGAATGGATCACAGGATGCACATTTGCAAATTGTCATTCACTTGCTTTCTGTAAGTAAATGATAATTTTGAGTATGTTGCCTCTTTGTAATGCTAGCAATCAGCAGGTAACTAATTAAAGGGACTCTCGAGTGCCAGGAAAACAAACCATTTTCCTGGCACTGCAGGTCCCCTCTCCCTCCCACCCCCCATCCCAGGTTGCTAAAGGGGTTAAAACCCCTTCAGTGACTTACCTGTATCCAGCGCCGATGTCCTTCGGTGCTGGTTCAGGGTCCGCCCATGCTCCTCCCCCGACGATGTCATCCGGCAGGGGAGACCTATTGTGCATGAGCGGCCGGCGGTGGGGGAGACCTAATGCGCATGCGCGGTAATGCCGTGCACACACATTAGACCTCCCCATAGGAAAGCATGCTTTCAATGCTTTCCTATGGGGATTTCAGCGACGCTATAGCACAGAAAATCTGTGCTGTAACCCGGAAGTGCTCTCTAGTGGCTGTCTATTAGACAGCCACTAGAGGAGGAGTTAACCCTGCAATGTAAATATTGCAGTTTATGAAAACTGCAATATTTACAGTTGCAGGGTTAAGGGTAGTGGGAGTTGGCACCCAGAGCAAAAGTGGTCTGGGTGTCTGGAGTGTCCCTTTAAATACCCTTAGTGCTCATGCCTATCAACAATGTCCTGAATTAAATTCAGATTTCAGCTGGACCGAACGCAGTCTTATGGCTGAAATATGGCCCTGAAAGCCTCAAATTTCGGCTAAGATTTTAAAAAATCAAAAAGATTTGGCCTCTCAGTGTTAGCAAACAGCAGGCAAATAGTTAAATAAACCTCAACTTGCTAGGCAGCAGCCACATTAAAAAAAAGTTTAAAAGTAAATAGAAAATAAAAACCTCTGGTGGTCAAAAAGAACCCTATATCAAACACTATAAAAGGTATACTAGGTCCTCATTACCACATCTTCTGAATGCAGCAGAAAGCACTGATCCCTACATATTGGAGGTACCCCCACTTGCCAGACTAGATATTTAAAACTAGAGACTGGACAGCTGGGAAATATGAATATTTAAATGAAATAATTCTGAAAATGTATTCTTTAATATGCAGAGGCATCATTTTATTGGTCAGCGCTGCAACCCTTAAAGGACCACTATAGGCACCCAGACTACTTCAGCTTAATGAAGTGGTCTGGGTGCCAGGTCCAGCTAGGATTAACCCTTTCTTCCATAAACATAGCAGTTTCAGAGAAACTGCTATGTTTATAATAGGGTTATAATAGGGTTAATCCAGCCTCTAGTGGGTGTCTCACTTGATTTTCACAGTGAGAAGACGCCAACGTCCATAGGAAAGCATTGAGAATGCTTTCCTATGAGACTGGCTGAATGCGTGCGCAGCTCTTGCCGCGCATGCTCATTTAGCCGATGACGACGAGAAGGAGGAGGAGATGAGGAGGAGAGTCCTCCGTCCAGGGCTGGAAAAAGAGGAAAATTTAACCCGTTCTGCCCCCTAGAGCCCGGCGGGAGGGGGGCCCTGAGGGTGGGGGACCCAAGGACCCTATAGAGCTAGGAAAACGAGTATGTTTTCCTGGCACTATAGTGGTCCTTTAACCAGGTTTTTGTGCTAAGATACAAAAGAGTTATCAATGTCAACTATATCCATTTGTATGTTTTGTTCCCGATCTATCCAAGCATTTCTATTGGTGAATAAATAAATAGATTTTGATTAATAGATCTTTAACCAATGTCTGTATGTCTGTTCTAATTTAACATTGATTTCTTTTTATTTAGACAGTGCTGAGAAAGGACTGAGAAGTGTTATTCACAGCTTTAAATGGTATGACGTTGGAGGTAAGTTCTGTAATATTATGCCCAAATTTTGCTGACCAAGATATTGTATTGTATGCAAGGTTACGTCCCTAAAAGGCAATGTTTAGTGTAATACTAATGTTATATTAATATTTGAGTAAAAAACACTTTATCAATTAATTCCCTGCACATTACTACGGGTTCTATTAGTGTGGAGCTCTTGTATTCACTCATGTATACTACAAATTACAGTGAGATACAAATATGGCATATTTTGGGGGTAAATGCTGCCTTTTACATCTGGACACAGCGCTAGAAACCTCTTTTATTTTTAGATACAAATTGCGAAGCTCTGTGATGCCCAAATAAACACTGCATATTACTGTCAGGGTTATTTAGTAAAGTGAGAATAGTCAGGAATGTAAAGAGAGTTCAAAGAGAATTTCACATTTAAGGCCTAATTAGCTAAACTAAAAAAAAGTATCTAAGTCAGCTCTGCCTACAATGTAGCTACTTTGACATTATAGTGTCAGGAAAACAAAATCGTTTTTCTGACACTATAGCAACCTTAGGACCCCCCCCCTCATGGTCCCCCTTCCTTGGCGCTGAGGGTGTTAAAACCCCTTCAGCTACTTACTTTAATCCAGCGCTGGTGACCTCTCCTCCCCCACTGACATCAGCTCCCGAGTGGCGTGGAAGGCGCATGCGCGGCAAGAGCCGCGCGCGCATACAAACAGTCCATAGGAAAGCATTTCTCAATGCTTTCCTATGGACGTTCTGCACGCTGGATGCCGCTTGTAGCGGCTGTCAGGAAGACAGCCACTAGAGGTTGGATTAACCCTGCAATGTAAACATAGCAGTTTCTCTTAAACTGCTATGTTTACATCTAAGAGGGTTAAAACCTGGGGAACCTGGCACCCAGGCTACTTCATTGAGCTTAAGTGGTCTAGGTGACTATAGTGTCCCTTTAAATATGAAAATCAGTTTGAATTCACAATAATTCTCTTTTCACTGAATAAGTAAAAAATGCTTTTTGGTAAACAGATCTACAACCAATGTCAGTATGTCTGTTCTAATTTAACATGGATTTCTTGTTACTCAGTCAGTGACGAACAGCAGGCTGAGACAGGACAGAATGGTACAGATATTTTTCCTCACCACTATAATGGAAATCACTCCGGTAAGTCCAACCTTATAACTAGAGTGATATATATGCATTTTTGTTTCTTGTTTACTATTAACTATTTACTATTAACCCCTTAAGGACAGAGCTTCAGAAGCTTGTCTTTCACTTAATGACAACAGCATTTTTTTCATTTTTTGCTGTTTGCGTTCAACTGCAATTTGCATTTTACTAATTTATTGCACCGACACATATTATATACCATTTTTTAAAGGACAGAAAGGGCTTTAATTTGATGTAACATATACATATATATAAATGCTTATTTATTATAAAAAAAAATACAGAAAAATGCAAAAAAATGAAAATGTTTGTGTTTTTTTTTACAGTTTTTGCAATAATAATGTGTGCATAATTAGTGCAGGTTAAGGAAAGTATTTAAAAATAAATTCATTTAGTTGTTCTGATTTACAGAATATATGTGTCTGGGATTTTAAGTTTCTTTTTTTTGGTAGTTACAGGTCACAAAGCACAAGGAGTAAAATAAACTTTTAATGTGGAGCGATTTTAGAATTTGGTATGTTTGTCTTGTAAGCTTAATAGCCATAAAAGAAAACAAAATTGCCACACAAAAGTATATATTTATATAAAGTAGACATCACGGGCTATTTACCTAAGGTTGTTTTGACACTTTCTACGTAGCCATTTCACCGCCAACCTCTGCTAAATATTGGAGTAAAATTGTGTTCTTTTTGGTTTTTGGCACACAAACTTATAACAGAGAAATTCTCGTGTATATTTTGTAAAGTTGGTGTGTGCTATTCCTGTACAAAGTTTTATTTTGTGTTCAGTTACATCTGCTGAGTAAAATGACACCCCCATTGTATGTCTTTGGCACTATTTTGTGAAGTTACAGTGCCATATAGGAGACCTGTCCTTTTCAGTATTCACAGTAGAATTTTGAGAGATGGATTTAATGAGCCTTAGCTTCCATTTGGGGTATTATAACAGTTTGACTGTTCAAAAAACCCCACAAAGGCCTACCATTTGTAAAAGAAGACACTCCAGGGTATCTCATAAGGTGCATATTGTGCCTTAACATGCCCCATTTTTTCACCAATATATGCTAAAGTATGTGATAAAAAATAATTTTGTGCGTTTTTTACATATGGATTGCATACGTGGCACTAAGTTCAAACCCCCCAAATTATGCTTGGCTAAGTCTTCTGAGTAAAAAGACACCCCCAATGAATGTCTTTGGCACTATTTCGTGAAACTACAGTGCCATATAGGAGACCAAGCCAAATCCGTTTTTACCAAACTTTGAATTTTGACGCTGGGCCTGTGTGCAATTTCCAAGCATCTTAGCAGGTTTTAAATTCAAACTACCCCACAAAGGCCTACCATTTCTTAAAGTAGACACCCCAGGGTATTTCAAAAGGTATATTTTGAACCTTAACGTGGGATCATTTTTCCGCTAGCTTGTACCAAGTGTAGTGGTAATAAGTGTTTTTTCTGCTTTTTTGACACACAAAGTGAGTTTGCACAGTATATTTTGCAAACCTTATGTGTGCTACCAGTGTATAATACTTCATATGTTGCTCAGCTATGTCAGCTGAGTACAGCAATTCCCCCATATGTACCTTTGCCAGGTATATGTGGACTTCGGAGGGGCACATTTGGGACACAGCCATTCCAGTTTTTTTCAAACTTTGAAGTTTTACGCTGTGTCCATGTTCCAATTTGGAGTAGTTGTCCCATTTTAGAGTATTTTACCAGGTTATATAATCCAAATACCCCATAAAGCCATACCATTTCTTAAAGAAGACATCCCAGGGTATTTCAAAAGGCATATTTTGAACCTTAGCGTGGGATCATTTTTCCGCTAGCTTGTACCAAGTGTAGTTGGAGTAGTTTAGACGGTTGGTTATTGAAACTTCCCCACAAACATACTATTTATTAAAGAATACACCCTGGGGTAATTCAAAAGGCATATTTTGAACCTTAGCGTGGGATAATTTTTTCTCTAGTTTGTTCCAGGTGTAGTGGTAATGAGCATTTTTAAATGTATTTTTTTACTTTTTGAAACTTTTTTTACTTTTAAGAACTAGTTTTTTAACTTTTGTTTTGCTTATTAACTTTTTTAAAACTTTCCTAAACTTTCTTAAAACTTTTTTTACAGATTTAACATTTTTCTAAGCTTTTTATTTTACCGTTAACCCCTAACTAGCAGTAAGCAGCACTAACAGTACATTCCCCATTTTCCCATAACTCCCACCCACCCCAGCTAGCAAAATATATAATTATTAAATATTAAAATTAATTAATTAAATTAATTGAACCCCTGAGGGTTAAAAAATAAATAAAAGTTAATCGTCAGGGGTTAAAAAAAATTATGTGTGAATAAAGCCTGCAGTTGACTCTCAGAACTGTGTTTCGTCCGGTTACTGGGAGATTTGGGATATTGCCTTGCTTTTCAGCGCTTGACTGTGGATTACTTCCTGAACCAGCGATTTTGAAACACTAATATTTGTGTTCAGCGAAGTCTCCCGAGTAGAACAGTACCCCCCATGTACAGGTCTTATGGTGTCTTGGAAAGTTATAGGGTTAAATACAGTGCTAGAAATTAAATTCCCTTTACTTTTGGCATGGGTTGTCATGCAGGTCCCGCTAATTGTAATTAATTAAGATACCTAATTATGTAAAAATATTACATAAATATATATGTAGAATTAATATATGTATATATATACGTATGTGAATCTATATGTGTATATCTATATAATTTTTAAAAAATATTTTTATTTATATATAGGTATATATATAGTGATATATACGTATATATTTATGTATGTAGATATATATATTATTTTGTTCTACGTGTATTTTGATATAAATATATATATATATTAATATCACAATACAGTTAGAATGAAATAACACACATCTATATATTTTTTAATTAATTTTTTTAAAATAATTTTTTTAATTTTTTTTTTACGTATTTACATATTTAATTTTTTTATATCATAAATATATATATAACAATAATTATATATATTTAACCAGTATCAGTCTACGTGTAATTTGATATTAATATATATATAATTATATATATATATTAATAGTAAAATACACTTAGCCAGTGTATGTTTGTGTATGTATATGTGTATATATATACTTAGATCATTTATATATATATATATATATATATATATATATAATATATAATATATATATATGATCTAAGTATATATATTTTTTTTACACTAATACATTTTATTTTATTTTTATTTTCAGCCAGCAGGGGGACCACCTGTAATTACAGGCAGCCCCCCTGCTGGCAATACAGAAGCCAGCTATCCCCGGCCATGTGATTGTGGGGTCCTCGCTAGGACCCCACTCTCACATGGCCGGGGGTCACCGGAGGAGAAGGATCTGCCGCGGGGGGGCTCCCTGGGAGTTCCCCCCACCGCGATCGCCGGCGTGGGACCACCGGCGACCGGGTAAGTGAACAAAAACCGGAGGGCGTACAATTACGCCCGGCGGCGTTTAGAGCCGCCTAAAATAGGGCGTAATTGTACGTCCTCCAGTCTAAAGGGGTTAAAGGGACACTCCATATTATATATGTTAGTTATAAAGGTGATTTCATTAAATGAATGCATTATTTCTTTTCAGAGGAAACATCTGCAAGAATAAAAGTGGGAAAGATATGTGGAATTTCAGACCTTGGCAAACTTTTTCTGTCCAGTCCATGGATGACAACGTTTATTCCATCAGTTTACACAGTAGTATTCATTGTGGCACTGCCACTAAATATAATGGCAATCATCATTTTCCTCACCAAGATGAAGGTCAGAAAGCCGGCCGTGGTCTATATGTTGAACCTGGCAGTTGCTGATGTATTGTTTGCTAGTACATTACCTTTCAAAATAGTTTATCATTTCTCTGGAAACAACTGGATCCTTGGTTCCGGAATGTGCAGTTTTGTTACAGCGTCATTTTACTGTAACATGTACTGCTCCATTCTGCTCATTACGGCTATCAGCGTGGACAGGTTCCTGGGAGTGGTCTTTCCGATCCAATCTCTTTCCTGGCGCACTGTGCGTCGTTCCTGGGTGGTCTGCATTCTAATCTGGGTGATTTCCATAGTTAGTACTGTTCCACTACTTACAATCGAGCAAACAAAACACGTTGCCAAATTGAACATCACCACCTGTCACGATGTGGTGAATGTAAAAGATCATGAAACATTTCACGTTTACTATTTTTCCAGTTTTTGTTTACTTTTCTTTTTTGTTCCCCTAATCTTGTCCTCTGTCTCTTATTTTGGAATCATTCACAGCATCAGATATTCAAAAAGTAGCAACTCATATAAAAGAAGACAAGCTGTGTTTCTGTCCATTGTCGTGTTTTCCATTTTTATAGTGTGCTTTGGGCCAACCAATGTCATCTTTCTCTCTCACTTTCTGCCAATGTTCAGTGGCAACGTCAATGAGTCTTTATATTTTGCCTACATTCTGTGTGTCTGTGTTGGCAGTATTAGCTGCTGTCTTGATCCTCTCCTTTATTACTATGTATCCCCTGAATGTCAGGGATATGTGTACAGGTTACTCTACTGCAAGGACGTTGCTGATTCGGACACTGTAAAGGTGTCTTAGAAAACGTGTCCTAGAGAGACTTTTGAGATTTTAATTTTAGAACACAGTTACCAAGTTAAATACTTATAAGCAGGGCTTGCTCTATATGGACCATATAAATCTATAAAAAGATCATTTGACAAAAGACCTGTCACACATCGGAGCTACTGTTCATCTAGAAAAAGACAAAAGCAAAAAACTATTTTATAAGATTTGCAATTGTACTGCAAAAAAATCCATTGTGAGCCCAATGTTGCAATGACATTTCTCCTTAGATCAACAAGCTATTAAAGCATATCTGTTGCTGTACACAAACTAACTTTTATAGTGTGCTGGAAGAATTACTAATGTCAATCAATTAATAATTCTGAGATCCATTACGATGATATAAACATCTGTGACAAAAATGAATGACATATGAGAGGAGTAAACCCAAACTACAAGCAGTCTCCTGCTCTCTATTGCAGCACACTCATTGTAGTTGCTGTGATACCTCCTCTACCAAGCGCTTCTTTACAGAGTTACAGATATACATCATTTCTAATGCCTTATATATACCTACATTGATAAGTAACATTCTGCTAATACTGTAAGGCCTTGCCTAGTCTTGTGTCACATTAAAATATAGGCCTCAATTAAAAATCTAAATAAAGACTTTTAAAATTATTATTTTTTAAAATATTAAAATGGATTATTAATAAAATCATATATACAAATATCTATCTTAACACAGTCTGAGGCGCTTTTAGAATCTCATTAGAAACTCCTTCTAAATTATTTTAGTGAGCATTATCCCCTACTAATACATGCTGGAGAGGGTGCGGACAGATAGGCACACTATTACACCAATTTTGGACATGTCCTAAATTAAAAACATGTTGGGCCAATATACACACACTCATACACCTTATTACAGATCAAATCCTAAACATTACACCCGAATGGTGTCTCCTGAAGAAATTCCTAGAGAGTTTACCTAAGGTTACAATTACTATATTAGGTTATCTATTAATTCCATCTTCCTCAGCTATTACCAGGTACTGGAGGTCTGACACTATTCCACCCATTACAGAGGTCATACTCGAGTTAAAGTGTTGTGAACTAGTCTTTAGAATTCACTCTGTGTTTTTAGAATCGCTGAGACAAGATTGGACTAGCTGGGAAAGGGATGTCAAAGGACATTTTGGCTTATAAGTATCATCTGCACCACATCCAACCAAACAGCACTAGATACAAATTATAACCTGATTCATATATATGACCATTGAGTTTTATTTTTTGTTTGTAATATAAGCTATCCGTTACTTTTTAGATGTTCAAAATATTACTTTGTTTTATATACATATAATAGGTGTATGTGTATATACAGTATATATATATATATATATATATATAAAAAGCCAAAAGCTTTGCACTCATACTCACAAAAAATGTCGAACCCGGTGCTAGATTGCACTAGACATGTAGAACAGGAAAAAATCAGCACTCCCAGGATTTCTAAATAAAGCTTCTTTTACTCCAAAATATTATTATTATTATTATTATTATTATTATTGCCATTTATATAGCGCCAACAGATTCCGTAGCGCTTTACAATATTTTGAGAGGGGGGATGTAACAATAAATAGGACAATTACAAGAAAACTTACAGAAACAATAGATTGAAGAGGACCCTGCTCAAACGAGCTTACAGAGTATAGGAGGGGGGGTATTAGAAACATTAGGACAGGAAATATCAAGTTTCAGTTCCTACCAGGAACTTTCATCAGGATAACAAACATAAGTGACATAAAACAAACTGTGCATTTAAGTAAGAAAAATAAAACGCGTTGGATTTCTACAATATTTTATGGATTTTATTTTGTATATTTCGTTACATTGTTTGGATGTTTGTTTTATTTGTCCTATCTTCCACTTCGCTGCTTTGGTACTCTAAGACTACACCACGCTGTTGCTGAGTTCCACTATCTGTGGAGATATGCCTATGATTATTTTCCGTCTGTAATTGCAATCTAATAAATGTTTCTTTGGTTTTAATGGTACCTCACTATGTGCGGCCTTTTTCTTTTCATATATTAAATCAAGAAATCATCATCTGAGTCTCTCCATACAACTGATTAGTTTTAACCACTGGGGAGGGGGGAGAAGCCTGATATATCATCTGTTTCTGACTTTTCTACCAACATCACATATTTCTCTATATTTTACTGTATTACACTATGTTTTGTTATCATTATAGATCTTTAATTGGTCTACGGATCCTGGTTCATATTTCCAGGTTGTTACAAAATGCTATATACGTATACTGGGTGCTTTTTCCTACTTTTCTTTATTTCAGTTATTTGTTGCGTATCTGTGAGGTACACCTGGGAGCACATTTAGTCCTACCTATATAATATTGTTATCGTTAGTGTGTATATTTCTTGCTTTTTTTACTGAATAGTTTCTGACTTAAAATGAGCAATGTCTTCATGAATTCACAGAACTTATGTTAATTAATAAATTAATAAACCCAAATGCAGCATATACAGTTCTAGTAGGAATTAGACTTTTTTTGTGAAAAAAAAAGTAGCATTTACAGTTCTCACCAAATATTTAACCCCTTCCCGACCGAGGACGGTTCAGGACCGTCCTAACAGTCTGAGTTACTTACCTGATCGCCGTCGTTCCCCCGGCGGCGATCAGCGTGGCTCCGGTTGTGGGGAGACTGCCTGCAGCCCAGACAGTCTCCCCACACTGAATTAGGACCCCTGTGGCCATGTGATCGCTTAACACAGCGATCACATGGTCACAATAGGTGTCCATGTGTCTGCCTGCAGGGGGACTGTCTGTGCTGACAGGCAGTCTCCCTGCTAGTGTAAAATCAAAAAATAAAATAAAGTTAGTGTTAATTAAAAAAATAATAATTATATATGTGTATATATGATATATAGACATATATTATATCTATATAATATATGTCTATATATCATATATATAATGCCATACTAAGTGTATTTTTATATTAATATGTACTTATATTAATATAAAAATACACTTATAATTAAATTACACACGTATATATATAATATATATAATAACTATATATATTGTATATATATATTATTATAAAATATAAATAATAAGTCATTTAAATGAAATAATTTTTTTTTAAATAATAATAAAAAATTTTAAAAAATTATATATCTATATGAAATTTTATTCTAACTGTATTTTAAAATTAATATATATATATATTTATATCAAAATACACTTAGAATGAATTTGCATATATATCTATGTATATATAAATAAATAAAAATAATACGAAATATACATATGTCCATATACAAAATTAAATAAATAATTATATAAATATACACGTAGACTTAAACTATATAAATATGTATATATATTTAAATTCTACGTGCGTATTTATGTAATATTTTTACATAATTCAGTAATTTTATTGATTGCAATTTGAGGGACCTGCCTGCCAACCCAGGCCGAAATTCCAGATAATTTAATTTGCTAGCATTGTATTTTACCCTGTAACGTTCTACGACACCCTAAAACCTGTACATGGGGGGTACTGTTTTACTCGGGAGACTTCGCTGAACACAAATATTAGTGATTCAAAACAGTAAAACATATCACAGCGATGATATTGTCAGTGAAAGTGACTTTTTTTGCATTTTCACACACAAACAGCACTTTTACTGATGATATAATTGTTGTGATACGTTTTCCAGTTTTTAAACACTAATATTTGTGTTCAGCGATGTCTCCCGAGTAAAACAGTACCCCCCATGTACAGGTTTTATAGCATTTTTGAAAGTTACAAGGTCAAATATATGGGTCAAATATTTTACATTGAAAATGGCCAGGTTGGTTACGTTGCCTTTGAGAGCGTATGGTAGCCCAGGAATGAGAATTACCCCCATGATTGCATACCATTTGCAAAAGAAGACAACCCAAGGTATTGCAAATGGGGTATGTCCAGTCTTTTTTAGTAACCACTTGGTCACAAACACTGGCCAAAATTAGCGTTCAATTTAGTTTTTTTACTTTGGCCAGTGTTTTCGACTAAGTGGCTACTAAAAAAGACTGGACATACCCCATATTGAATACCCTGGGTTGTCTACTTTAAAAAAAATATGTACATGTGGGGTGTTATTCAGAGATTTATGACAGATAATAGTGTTACAATGTCACTATTGATAAATTTTTAAAATGTATGTTTTGAAACCGCAATATCCTACTTGTACCTATAGCCCTATAACATGCAAAAAAGCACGTAAACACTAGGTATTTTTAAACTCAGGACAAAATTTTGAATCTATTTAGCAGTTTTTTTCATTCGCTTTTGTAGATGAGTAAAAGATTTTTCAAGTAAAAGTCAAAAAACATGTATTTTTTCAATTTTTCATCATATTTTTTTATTTTTTTTAAATTAAAATACATGAGATTATATAAATAATGGTATGTAAAGAAAGCCCCTTTTGTCCTGAAAAAAACAATATATAATTTGTATGGGAACAGTAAATGAGAAAGCGGAAAATTACAGCCAAACACAAACACCACAAAAGTGTAAAAATATGCCTGGTCGCAAATGTACAACATCTCAAAAACAGTCCAGTCCTTAAGGGGTTAAATGGGGGTGGAAATCTAATCATATTCCTTTTAAACCATACACACAATGATTACAGCACAACTATAGTATACATGGCAATGTTAAACAGTGACACTGAATTTGTCTACACATTTTTATTCTGTCCTTTCTATTACTATTATTATTAGTAGTATGTATATAGCGCCAACTAATTTTGCAGTGCTTTACAATATTATGAAAGGGGGAAATTTAAAATAAATGAGACAATTACACAATGACACAGGTAGGTGAGGGCCCTGCTCAAACGGGCTTCCAGTCTAGAGGAAGTGGGGTACAAATATACAACACTGCAGCAAGGCAGGGTGACAGCCACCAAACAAGGTGGAAAAGTAGCAGAGCTGGAGGTGATATTGGAGTATAGCTTTTTTTAGGAGAGCGAGAGACAGATTTGGATAGGTATAGATAATTAGTTACTCTGGGAGTCCATAAGCATTTCTGAACAGATGTGTTTTGAGGGACTTCTTAAATAATTTCTATGTATCATATATTTTCCTTTTTAAGTAAAACATGCCATTAAAGATATCATGGGGTCTCCAACACAAATATTACAGGGTTTTTCTTCCCAGGGTCCTTTGTGTGAGAAAAACTATAATTTAATTATCTCTCATGCACAGAAAAACCTATACAACATATACAGTACCCCTAAAGTACCCCCATCATAACTAGGAACCGCACAAAAGTCCCCAGATAGCCCGGGTATGAGTGTACAACTTGGCCAAGTATCACTCAGATCTGTTTGGTAGAATTGGATTACCACCGGGGTAAAGTTTTGACCGGTCGGACACGAGAGGAGAGCCTAAAACAGTTCCAGGGAATTAGGTGTCCTGGCCAGTCTCTGTTCGGGGGTTTCTGTTTGAAAACCATGCAAGGGATTCTCTTGATTTCGGTGTATGAACGCTCCCCCCAGTCGGTAGCTCCCATCTACCGAACGTCGTTTGTATAGCTGGTTGGCAAATAGAACGGGCAGCAGTATAACCTTTACCGGGGTTTGTGCGAGTGCCTAGCCGAAAAGAGTTCCAGGCACTCAACGACCAAGTGCCGCTGCCCACGTTCGACAGGCAAAATGGACGCCACTCTTTTGCCGACCACCTGCATTCGGTTATACAAAATGGTGGCCACCCGGGGGGATCATTCATTAATTACTTCCCCTGTGGTTTAGCACTTCAGTTACTAGGTGGGAATGTTCTAATGGGGTACCATGGTACTCCTCGTTCGGGAGTCGAATGTAGAGTGTTCGTATACCATAACTCACGAATGGAAAAAAGGCCTCTATTGGTCGTTTCTCACTTAAAGTGATCACCATGATCCTGAACAGATATAGACCGTTCTGATTCCACTTATATTTATCCTATAGTAATATAACAGCCTCCTATCCTTTTTTTTGTGTTGTTTTGTTTATTCACGGAAACATTTAGTGACAGTCTCCTAACCATCAATCGTTTTTATCCTATGAATCGTATTGCAAATGGGGTATATTCAGTCTTTTTTAGTAGCCACTTAGGCGTTCAAATTAGTTTTTTGCATTTTCAAATATTAACACTAAATTTGGCTAGTGTTTGTGACCAAGTGGTTACTAAAAAAAGACTGGACATACCCCATTTGCAATACCTTGGGTTGTCTACTTTTGCAAATGATATGTCATCATGGGGGTAATTCTTATTCCTAGGCTACCATACGGTCTCAAAGGCAACGTAACCAATCTGGCGAATTTCAATGTGAAAAAACTGAAAAATGTAATACGCTATGTTTGACTCTGTAACTTCCCAAAATACCATAAAACCTGTACATAGGGGGCACTGTTTTACACGTGAGACATCGCTGAATACAAATATGTGTATTTTATTGCAGTAAAAGCAAACAGTATTATGACATTCACAGTTAGAATGTCATACAGAACTAAAAAAAAATAAAAAATTCTTAATTTCTCAATTTTTTAAAATATTTTATTCATATTAAATTATGTTTCATAGGTAAATATTTGATGTCATATGAAAGCCCTATTTCTCCTGAATAAAATGATATATAATAAGTGTGGGTGCACTTAGTATGAAAGAGGTGCATTACGGTTGAACAGACATATAGTCACACGCCAAGTTTTGTTTACGTTTTATTTTGATCAAAGCGTGTACATTTGGCTCAGTCCTGAAGGAGTTTATTGGATATATTTTCTTCCAGATTTGGTTATTAGTGAATAGTGTGAGTACTGGCAGCCAAAAGGCATAAATCCGTAACTTCAACTAAACTGAAATAGACTTTTCCTTTAAGCGTAAGATAACAAGTCCTATTTTTGGAATAGGCTCAATTTTAAAGTAATAGAATCAGCATTTCATATGCTACAGAATTTTCATATTTTAAAAAAGAAGCTCTGTGGTCATTCAATGAGCTAGCGCTGGACTTGTAGTAATTATCAGCATGCAAATAATAAAATATCTACTCAATAGCAGATACAAATTTACACATGACACAAAGCAGATGCAAACTGTATTCTATTTTTATATTATTCGAACAGGCTAAATTTATAGAGTAGTTGGCAATGATTTGACGATCCTAAAAGTATTTCATAATCAGGTCTATTATGGTACACATATTAGGGTTTATTCACTTTACAGCAAATTACAATGAACTGAAATCAGACTGGCAAAATGCATGAAAACATAGCTAATTTGGGGAAAAAGATTGCTCTATCTCAGCTATAGTAACAGCTTGAAACGTACTCCGAGCTGCTACGTATTGCAAACCCACCCCTCTATGAGTGACCCAATTAGTGTGTCAATTCACAATACTTAGTTCTTCATTACATATTTCACTCTGTCTCAATGAACAATCCAAATGAAAAGACATGCTTCTGGAGTTTAAATGTTTTCACTTCTTAAGAGGTGAATAAGGCTGACCGGATTTTACTTACTATTAGATATCCAGAAGCTAGTCTGTTCATTTGTGTTGTCTATAGTAACATGTTACCCAGGAACACCATTCTGTAATGAGGCCTTTTCTAGCAACTGGGCAGCAATAGATGCCCCAACACCAGTTTTAAACATTTAGCAGACATGCCCCCACTTGTATGGCAGGTGGGGGTGTAAGGAGGTGAAATAACTCCCTTACAGTAACATGGGGGTCTTACTAAACTCCATAGGCCTTTAGGGCTCCAATGCAAAAGCATGGATTTTAATTTGGACATTGAATGCATCCAGGCAATTTTGAAGTTTCACTCAGACCAACAGATTTTGGCCCATAAACATAATGAGTAACTATAAAAACACACAAAACAATGATGTACTATCAAAACACACAAAACTATTTCGACCATATTTGGCATTACTAAATATGACTATTGTTATTGCATTTTGAATTTGGTCATTTTCACAGGACTATGTCCATCTTGACACTATCCCGTGTTTAGTAAATAAAGACATTGGTGTGGTAAGTTGGCTTTTGGTCTCTAGCTTGCGTTGGAGATGCCGTGTAAACATAGTTTTCTGTTGAGGTGTAGGTTACTGGAGAGTATTATCAAAGTAGCTGAGGTTTTAGCTATCTCACGGGTACACAACCTTCAGCACTCCAAATGTTGTGTAAATCTTTGCCAGTATTACATATTTTTTCATTTTTATACGTGGATATAAAAGTGAAAAAAACAAACATGTACAAAAAAATTGTAACTGCATAGTTTGCAGAAACCAGCCTGACTTACAATGTCTACTCATAACATTTCCATATCGGTAATTCAGCCAAGAGTAGATGGCATAGGGTGTGTTTTCAATAAAAGTCAGGTGATAGGATATGTCATGTATACATTTCATGGAGTCATCTTCTGTTTGTTCAGAACTAACCATTAGCTCAGTGATTGCATAAAGTGGAAAAAGAATGAAATTAAGGCTGCATATAATGATGTTATTGATGACTCTAATCGGTTCATTTTTTCGCATACAATGTGACCATGCAGAGACCGGTAAGTAAAACATAACACATTTGATGATTGTTCTGTGATAATAAAATGTGACTGTAACTGGATGCATTCATTGAACTTGAATTTAACCCCTTAAGGACCAAACTTCTGGAATAAAAGGGAATCATGACATGTCACACATGTCATGTGTCCTTAAGAGGTTAAGAGCATCTTCTGACAGCATTGCACAGTGATACATCTTTCAAATATTCAAAACTAAAAAATAGGGTGTTTATTGCAAACATCATTCTTTCATCGTAAGCATAAAGATGGGGGCACTGTATGCGCTAAAGACATTTCATCTCATTGAAGTAGTTATAGTGCCTGGAGCCCCCATATTGCTAATGCACAGATGAAGGAGTTTAGAACCCAGAATGTTGTCATAACTATACTGGCATTCATAAATGAAAGATCATGCAGTACAGTGCACATAATTGTCTTTTTACGTTGAAATCCTTATTCAAATTTAGCAAAGAACAACAAATGTATGAAAACAAACATACACAAGGTCTGTGCAATACAACATACTGTTTCCTCTCTGCCACGTTAATGAAAGTGAGAGAGAGGAAAGAGAAGGGTGGATGGTGGGGAGGTAGTCTAATAAGAGATTTGTGTTTATTGTATGTTTTCCTTTAGATCTTAACTGGAGGGCTTTACAAAATATAGCAATTAATCAGAGATAGTCTTACAAGCAGGGAGCTATATAATAAGACATAAGGAACAAAAGAAGAAGACATATGTATTATTATATGAAGTGCTGTGTCGGCTCTTGAGCTTACAGTCTAATAGGATAATGTACATTGATGCATTGACATAAACGGTAGAAGGGAAGCAAATACAGTGGAGAAGCGAGAAAGTGTAATATCATTGAAAGCTCAGATGTGAGCAGATGAGGAGTTTGTCAGATATATAGTAAGCACAGCTATAAACATACTTCTCCCATTAAAGAGAAAGAGTTTTATATTGGACTTGGTTCAGTTGAATCACTTATGCTGAAAAAAAACAAAAAAACATTTTGTTCAGTCTACCACATTGTCTATGCAAATATTTCTGAAAAACGATTTAGGTGAACCAAAATGGTGCAGAAATTAATCATTTGCCCAATCAGTGGACTGCAAAATATATAAATAATATTTATATATAATATTATGTACATACACATGGTAATTCTTATATCCTGAAGCTAATTTCAGCCAACCGCATGTTGTATAATTAAATTAGGACAGCTTAAAATGGTATTTTGTCCTTGAAATTCAGTTCACATTTTGTCATCATTCACTTATTTGAGTGTTCTGTTACTTTTGAGCATTCAGTTGCAAATTTAAAGCATTAAGTCTGGCTGATCCCTGGTTTATTTATTTTTGATTGATTGATTGATTGATCTAGTGGCTGTCCTCTACCCTTCAATTGTCTCTTTTTGTGGAGAGCTCACTGGTGCAACTCAAAATTATAAATAAAGTGAACCAGCTCCATGAAAACTAATGAAGACAAAGCCCCAAAATTGGGACCAGTCTTCGTGCCCAATTTTGGGGCTCTGTCTTCATTAGCTTTCATGTAGTATTTAGTTTGGGTTATGCTCTAATTACCCATTCAGACCGTGTGTGCATCAGGGTTAGACTTTTCTGTCTCGCATCTGAAGCTTTCTTTTTGTTGAAAGTGAGCCAGCTCATTGTTTAATAGTAATCTGGACATATGGTGATTTAATAGCAATTTGGAAAACATGCCACAACCAAAATGTTTATGAAATGCAATTTGGGACAGCTTATATTAGTTTATTTTTTATTGAATAATGGTGCATGCAAATATGGGAGATAAATCTCCAGAAAAGTTAGCCTAATATTATAGAAACGCTAAACATAAAAAAAAAGGTTTATCTATATTAAGAGGATTTAAAAAAAGTATATTTTAATAAATCAATAAACATATTTTTACTAGTGAATAAATGCTAAGCAATTCTGTTCAGATTAAAGGACTATAGGGTCTCTAGGTCCCCCTTAGGGTCCCCTCCCGCCGGGCTGTAGGGTGAGGAAGGTGTTAAACACCTTTTCTCCACCGCCTGGGCTCCCTCGGTGGTGGGGACTCTCTGCCTCCTTTCCCCGTCATCGGCTGAATGTGCATGCGCGGTGTCTAGGTGTCTATAGTGGTTCTTTAAGAACAGACACGATACCTGTGCACAGGATTAGTAGCTGCTGCATTTCACAGACACAACACACACTTTCAGACTTATTGTAGGGTCTCTGTATTTTTTGCAGAGCCTCATGCCCAGGTAACCTGTCAAATATATAGATGTTTCTGGAGAAGATATCTTTTCACCTCACTTTCTGCATCCAAGTCATTGTGTCCAGTCTTCAACTCCTGGCAGAAAAAGCTTGCAACACAGCATCATCTTTGTTCTCTTGTGTGATCAATGGTGAAAAAAATAATTGAAAAAAAACCACAATAACTAAATGTCGGAAAAAAATGTTGTGTCTGAAAAAATGTGTTATGCTCAGAAACCAGTAAAATCAGTGCTGTTTCTAGCTTACTAAATATCTCTTTGGCTGTCTGTTTTCTAAAAGTACTGATTTTATAAACTGTCAGAAAATGACAGACTCAAGACACGTACTGCAAAGCTCTTCAAAAACATAACTGCATATGGGCTCCCCTGGATTTTTCAGTTTGTTCTGCTATTTTTCGTGTGAGATTGAAAATACAGTGCAATACCACTGTGTATGGAGAGAGACAGGGATAGGAAGCTATACTTATCCCAGTTTCTCTCTACTGACTGAATCTACAGAGGAACAGCACATGCAGCCAGAGACAGCCTACAGATCAGGTAAGTGAGGGATGGGGGGGCAGCCTATATATTAGGGAAGTGAGGCATGGGGGGGCAGAGAGCCTATACATCAGGGAAGTGAGGCGGGGGGCCAGAGAGAGCATATATATCAAGGAAGTGAGGCATGGGGGGACAGAGAGCCTATAGATCTGGTAAGTGAGGCGGGGGCAGAGAGAGCCTATATATCAGGTAAGTGAAGCATGGGGGGCAGATAGAGCCTATAGATCAGGGAAGTGGAGGGGGGCAGAGAGAGCCTATAGATCAGGAAAGTGAGGCATGGGGCAGAGAGAGAGCCTATAGATCAGGGAAGTGAGGCTGGGCAGAGAGAGCCTATAGATCAGGTAAGTGAGGCATGGGGGGGCAGAGAGAGAGCCTATAGATCAGGTAAGTGAGGCGGGGGGCAGAGAGAGCCTATAGATCAGGTAAGTGAGGCATGGGGCAGAGAGAGCCTATAGATCAGGTAAGTGAGGCATGAGGGGAGTGGGGGGCAGAGAGAGCCTATAGATCAGGGAAGTGATGCATGGGGGCAGAGAGAGCCTATAGATCAGGGATGTGAGGCATGGGGGCAAAGAGAGCCCATAGATCAGGGAAGTGAGGCGGGGAAGAGGGAGCCTATAGATCAGGAAGTAAGGCATGGGGGGCAGAGAGAGCCCAAAGATCAGGAAGTGAGGCAGGGGCAGATAGAGCCTATAGATGAGGCATAGAGATCCAGGGGCTAGCCTAGATCAGGAAGTGAGGCAGGGGCAGAGAGGGGGAAGGAGGCGCATAGCCTATAGATCAGGAAGGAGGCGGGGCAGAGGGAGCCTATAGATCAGGGAAGTGAGGCAGGGGGGCAGATAGAGCCTATAGATCAGGGAAGTGAGGCATGGGGGGCAGAGAGAGCCTATAGATCTGGGAAGTGAGGTGGGGGCAGAGAGAGCCTATAGATCAGGGAAGTGAGGCATGGGGGGCATAGAGAGCCTATAGGTCAGGGAAGTGAGGTGGGGGTAGCATATAGATCAGGGAAGTGAGGCATGGGGGTGCAGCCTATAAGAGCCTATAGATCAGGGAAGTGAGGCATGGGGGTGCAGCCTATATATCATGGAAGTGAGGCATGGGGGGGAGCCTATAGATCAGGGATGTGAGAGATGGGGGATCCACCTACAGATCAGGTAAGTGAGGGATGGGGGGGCAGCCTATAGATCCAGTAAGTGAGGGATGGGGGGGAGGCAGCCTACAGGAAGGGTCAGCAAGGAGCAGGAGGGTAAAGTAAGAGAAGGAGCAGAAAGGAGAAGGAACAGAAATGAGCAGGAAGGGACATCTGTCACGTATTCATCTGCTTATAAAAATGTGATTAATGGAATTTACTGTTCAGACAGGAAAAGTTGTGCCGAACAACAATCAAATCCACAGGAGGGTTTGTGCTGAGCAGCAATTATGCAAATGGGAACCTGGTCACTGCCTTTGGGGTCAAAGGTTGATTACAGCCTTCAGATAGAGAGGAGGGGTATTTAGGCCCAGTTCTCATCCTGCTCAGTGCCCTGTCATGGTTTCCCTTGTGGTTGTCCGAGAGCACGTTATTGATTCTGGTAATTCTGGTTATTTGACTTTGGCATTGTTTTTGACTTCCCTGTTTTCTGGCATCCCTGACTCCTGGCTTTTCCTTATCGTTCTGTCTCTTTCTGTATCCCTTGACCTCGGCTATTCCTGACTATTCTTTGGTACGTCAGTCCGGCCATTCTAAGGTCCGGTATACGTTACCTATCAGTCCTCTGTGTTACACAATTCTATATGCTGGATCATACTGTAATCCTGACAACATCAAGGAGCAGAAAGGGGCAGCAAGGAGTAGGAAGGGTCAGCAAGGAGAAGGAAGGGTCAGCAAGAAGCAGGAAGGGTCAGCAAGAAGCAGGAAGGGGCAGAAAGGGTCAGCAAGGAGCTGGAATGGTCAGCAAGAAGCAGGAAGGGGCAGAAAGGGTCAGCAAGGAGCAGGAAGAGTCAGCAAGAATCAGGAAGGGGCAGAAAGGAGCTGGAATGGGCAGCACAAAAGGTAAAGTAGGAGAAGGAGCACAAAGGAATAGAAATGAGCAGCAAGGAGCAGGGAGGGTCTGCAAGGATCAGGAAGGGTCAGCAAGGAGCAGGAAGGGTCAGCAAGAAGCAGGAAGGGGCAGAAAGGGTAAGCAAGGAGCTGGAAAGGGCAGCAAGGAGCAGGAAGGGACAGAAGGAGCACAAAAGTAAAGTAGGAGAAGGAACAGAAATGAGCAGGAAGGGTCAGTAATGAGCTGGAAGGGGCAGAAGGAGCACAAACGTAAAGTAGGAGAAGGAGCAGAAATAAGAAGGAAGGGTCTGCAAGGAGCAAGACGGATAGCACGGAGCAGGAAGGGTCTGCAAGGGGCAGCAAGGAGCAGGAAGAGCCTGCAAGGAGAATGAAGGGTCCGCAAAGAGCAGAAAGGGACAGAAGGAGCACAAAGGTAAAGGAGCAGAAAGAATCAGAAGGAGCACAAAGTTAAAGTAGGAGAAGGAGCAGAAAAGATTACCAAGGAGCAGAAACGGTCTGCAAGGAGCAGAAAGGGATCAGAAAGAGAAAGAAGCAGAAGGGGGAGCACAATAAGCAGAAAGTAGCAGAAAGATAAAGGAGCAGAAGGAGCCAATGAGGAGAGAAGACAGTGTCAGAAGAAAAAGAAGACTGTGTCAAATGAAGGAGAAGAAAAGTAGATTGGAGCAGGAAGGACAAGTGAAGTGAACCCACCACATCATAAGGCTTTGGTACCTGGGCCTGGCAGGGAAACTTTGGACCTTCTCATCTCCCCAGGTTAAAAAAATATCAGTGTTAATGTGTTCACTTTTATTTACTGAGTGTCAGGAAGCACAGAGTGCCGTTGGGTAGGGGTGTCACTGATTGGCTAGAGCGGTCAGCTGGCACTCTAAGCCAATCAATAGCTCCCCATTCATAAAAAAGCAAAACATTTTTTATGAAGCGGGAACTAGTGATTGGCTTAGAGCGTGAATTGACCACTTTAGCCAATCTGCAGCACCCATGCCTGATGTCAATCTGCACTTCCTGACACTTCGTTTCAGAAGCCGAAAACCACTGAGCAACCTGGAGATCTGAAGCTGGAGGAAGCCTTTGGGGTTAAACCATTTGAGAACACCCAGGGGCTTCCTAGCATCATAGCATTTTCATTTAGATGAAGTTGTTATGGTGACCAGAATGTTCCTTTAATTTGCTTAAAAGAACACTATAGTGTCAGGAAAACAAACATGTATTCCTGACACCATAGTTGTGAAAGCGCTATTCACCCTGGCTTTATGTGATAATGACACTGTCAAAAATGGATGTCATTACAATTATACCCCCTCCCCTGGAAAAAGTCCTGTGGACGCCCATGTCCCCTCTTAACCCCCATCCCAAAATGGATAAGCCAGAAAACAACCTTGTTTATATAGCTATATATATTATATATAAATGAGAGAGCACTTGCAGGACTTTTCTCAAGAAGATCTGCAACAATAAAGCAACATTTTTCATTCCATCAGAATACTAAAAAACTCTAAAATAGCCATATTCCAAAAGACAAAACTTAAAGTACAGATTGCATCGTTTATAGAAATAAAGTCTCCCAGCCCTGTACAGTTATCAAAGACATTGTAAAATGTGTCCAAAACTAAAGCATGACTTGAAGCTCGACATTCCACAACACTCACAATATTCCTTCTCACAATTACTGCAACAGGGAAATAAAGTCTGCCCCAACAAACAAACAATCATCTTATCACATTGCCCCCTCCACCGCACACACAATTAGTCACCCTGTCACATTGGCTGCAGGGGAGAAGAGAGAGAGAGAAATGGAGGGACAAAAGTGGAGGGGGGGGGGGGAGAAGGACACATGGAGGTCCCTGGGGGGAATGATACTCATGGAGGGGCTTTGGGGGGGTAGGGGGTTGCAGAATGAGACACATGGAGGGGCTGGGGGGGCAAATGAAACACTTGGGGGAAATGAGAAAAGGAAGGGCAAGAGTGGAGGGGAGAGAAAGACACATGGAGGTTACTGGGGGAATGAAACATGTGGAGGGGCTTGGAGGGAGGGAATGATACACATGGAGTGGTTGAGGGGGGAGATGAGTCACACTGAGTGGCCTGGGAGGGGGTGAGACACATGGAGGGGCTATGAGGGGATGAAATACAACACTTGGGGGCAGTGGTGTATCCTGGTTTTGTGCTGCCCTAGGCAGGACAAAACTCAGGCGCCCCCCTCCCCCTGCGCCACCCCCACCCAACCCTTCCCCCCGCCCCACCTTCTAAATACACACACACAGTCAGACACAAACACACACAAACACAGTCAGACACAAACACACACACATACACAAACAGACACACTCACAAACACAGTCAGACACAAACACACACACAAACACAGTCAGACACACAGTCAGACACAAACACACACACAAACACAGTCAGACACACAGTCAGACACAAACAAACACAGTCACACACACAGTCACAAACACAGTCAGATACAGAGTCAGACACAAACACACACACAGTCAGACACATACACAGACACAAACACAGTCAGACACAAACACACACACACACACTCACAAACACAGTCAGACACAAACACACACACACACACACAAACACAGTCAGACACAAACACACACTCACAAACACAGTCAGATACACACAGAGTCAGACACAAACACACACTCACAAACACAGTCAGATACACACAGAGTCAGACACAAACACACACACAGTCAGACACATACACAGACACAAACACAGTCAGACAAACACACACACACACACACACACACACTCACAAACACAGTCAGATACAAACACACACACACATTAACTTTTTTTTTTATTTAAATCCCCCCCCAACCTCCTTACCTTTGGGGGGGCGGGGGTCTCTCTCCCTGGTGGTCCGGTGGTCCAGTGGCTGCAGGGCTGGCAGGCGGGCGGCGCTGGCGAGGGAGTACTTCCTCTGAGCTGTCAGCTCAGCTCCCTCGCGCGCCGGCTGCAGAGTGAGGCTGGGTGCCGGAAGATGACGTCATCTTCCGGCTCCCAGCCTCACTCTGCGGCGCGCGAGGGAGCTGAGCAGTCAGCTCATAGGAAGTGCTCCCTCGCCAGCCGCCTGCCAGCGCCGCCCGCCCGCTCGGGATGTCAGTTAGCCGCAAGGCTAACTAGGCATTTGCCTTGGGCATTTGGGGGGCGGCGTTTTTTGCCGCCCCCTGAAAAATGCCGCCCAAGGCAAATGCCTTGTTTGCCTCGCGGCTAATACGTCCCTGCTTGGGGGGTGGAATGAGATACAAGGGAGGGGATGGGGGGATGAGACACATGGAGGGTCTGGGAATGAGACAAATCAAGGGGCTGGGGAGGGAAAGAATGGGACATATATATATTGCATTTACAGTTAAATGCCCATTGGAGTGATTATAAAAGCCTTCAGTTATGTAAATGTGCATAGGGATTGGATAGTGCACAAGTATCTTTTTTCTTTGGTTTTTATTGAATGTTCTATATAGGTATACTGAAAAATACATTTAACATTACTTTTCATGACATCCAAAATACTCGGATTCTGGGTTTGGTTTTTTCTGCAAAGCGCTTGGTAGTTAAGGGGTTTAATAGGAAAAGGACACCTCCAGTTTCCTGATCCTAATGAGATCTGAAGATACCAGTCAAAAAGCCCTAGCCACTTCCAATGGTACATACCATACCTACACCTCCTTCCTCTAACATAGTATTAAGTAGACATGTGCAATTCGTTTTGGTCCGAATATGAATTGGGACGAATTTCAGACAATTCGGACATTCAGGTACTTCAGAATGTCCGAATTGCCGAATTGTCGAGGTCCCGAAGTTCCGAAATTACCGAATTTCCGAAGTGTCAAAGTTACGAAGTGCTGAAGTGCCGAAGTGTCAAAGTGCCGATGTTCCGAAGCACAGTATTGCCTAAGTACTAATATACTTACCCAGTGAAAGAAGAAGAATGTTACATTGTATACAATTTTAAATAAAAAAAAGTATACAAACATAGCCAGGATTCAGCTGTAAGCATTTGCAACACTCACAACAATCAAGTAACACACATTCATATAAAATGTAAGTTACTTAGCCTGTCAATGTAATGACAGGAATGAATAAGTAGATAACTCCCTAATTCCCACGGTATTAGGGAGTTATCTACTAAAAGGTGAAAGACCTAAATTGGTCTTTCAGCCAAATTTACTAATTTATGGCTGCTCACTGTTTAAAAAAAAAAAAAGGTCCCCCCTCCCGAGCTGCGACGTGCGAGTGGGGGCTTTTAAACTAAAGGGGGGGACCTATTGCCCCCCACCCCTGAGCAGCGCGTGGGTGCCCTAATATAAAATAATGGGGGGGGACCTATTGTCCTCCCCTCGGGCCCCCACCCCTGAGCGGCGGGTGGGGGCACTAAATCAGAATAGAAGGGGGGACCTAATGTCCTCCCACTTGGCCCCCACCCCTAAGCGGTGAGTGGGGGACCTACAGTAAAATAAGGGAGAGGGACCTAACTTCCTCCCCCCTGGCCCCTGAGCGGTGGGTGGGGGCCCTAAATACTAATAAGGACCTAATGTCCTCCCTCCTGGCCCCCACCCCTGAGCAGCAGGTGGGGGCCCTAAATTGGAATAAGGGGGGAACCTAACGTCCTCCCCCCTGGCTCCCACCCCTGAGCAGTGGGTGGGAGCCCTAAATACCAATAGGGGGGGACCCCCCAGGCCCCCACCCCTGAGCGGCGAGTGGGGGCCCTAAAAAAAATGTTACCTCCCCCTCCAGGTGACTAGGGGTCCCCAAACCCCTAGTCACCCCCCCAAAAAAAAATTAACCCCCTAGCTACCCCTCTCACCCTAAAAATAATGAGGGGGGAACCTTTAACTAAGTACCTGTGCGGTATAGTGAGTAGGGGCAAAATTTACTAATACTATGTAATCTTAGTATTAGTAAATTTGGCTGAAAGACCAATTTAGGTCTTCAGCCTTTTGGTAGATAACTCCCTAATACCGTGGGAATTAGGGAGTTATCTACTAAGCGGCTGCAAAAGAAGTCCCGAAGTGCAGAAGTCCCGAAATTCCGAAATGCCGAAGTTCCGAAATTCTGAAGTGTCGAAGTGCTGAAGTTGCCGAAGTTCCGAAGGTCCCGAATTGCGGAATGCCGAACCGAACCAAACCGAAAATTTGCCCCATGTACATGCCAAGTATTAAGGATAGGTATAATCTAATAAAATAACAAAAACATGAACATTAAAATCTCAATAAGATTTTCTTTATACTACCTTCTTTCTTTAGACATGAAATCATGGAAATCATGGGCGAAGTAAAAGCCATCTTAACTCATTGTAACTATAATATATATACAGATTTTTCTTTAATAAAACAGGAGGCCTGAGTATTCAGTCTGTATTCTTTCCCGTGTCCTGGCTGTATCCACTGATGAGGGCCCTGAAGCAGAGTATCGCTCTCTTAACCTTAAGATCCTTATCTACTGCTGAAGAGTCCATTACATCTGTATTTTTCAGGGGTGTTAATTTCAGTATGATCTCCACACATTTACCTTGTAAAATAGTTATAATTAGAATTGTTGCTGAATTCAACTAATGATTTTAACAGGGTTATTTGCTTAAAGGGAAACTCCAGTGCCAGGAAAACAATCCGTTTTCCTGGCACTGCAGGTCCCCTCTCCCTGCCACCCTGTCACGATTCGGGGAACCAAACACACCAACACACACACACACACACAAAGTGCAGTACCGGACCTTAGAGTGGCTGGGCTAAGCACACAAAGAATAGTCAGGAAACAAGCCGAGTAAGGGGAACCAGAAGACAGAATAACGATAGACAAGCCGAGGTCAAAGGGTAGGAGAAAGTCACAAAGTCGGATAACAAGCCAGAGAGTACGTAACCAGAAGCACAAGTTCAGAATCAATACTAACAAGCAAAGACCACAACAGGGCGAAGAGGAACAGGAAAGGTAAGTATATAAATCCAAAGGTTAATTCTGATTGGATAATTTCCAATCAGAATTAACAATCACACGTGGGAGATATCTAAACCTCCCACTGTGATTGAGGCACTGTGCCTTTAACGCCGGGTCAGGTGACTGACCCCGGCGTTGGTTAAAGTGGGCGGTCTCCCAGCGTGCAGCGTCATGCATGCTGCCGCTGGGAGACACAGAGGAAGAGGCGGACGGCACCCGTGGGAGAGAGGGTGCCGCCCGCCGAGCACACGGCTGAAGGGGGACCGCGGACGGCTGGAGGGTGAGTGCCGCGAGCGGACTGCAGCCTCCCCTCGCAGCCGCCCGCGGGACCCTGACAGTACCCCCCCTCGAAGACCGCCCGGAGGGCGGGAAGCAGAAGGCTTCAAAGGAAACCGGGCATGAAAGGAGCGGACTAAAGAGGGGGCGTGCAAATCAGAGCTCGAAACCCAAGACCGCTCCTCAGGGCCGTAACCCTTCCAATCCACCAGGTATTCCAGCCGACCCCTAGAAACACGAGAGTCGAGAAGGGCAGCTACTTCGAACACGTCACTAGAGACAGTACGAGGGGAAACGGGCCGTCCGAGAGGACGAGAGAACCGGTTACACAGCAAGGGCTTCAAAAGCGAAACGTGAAACGTGTGCGGAATACGCATGGAAGGAGGCAAGTCCAGGGAGTAGGAAACGGGGTTAATCCTACGTAACACTTTGTAGGGACCAAGAAACCTGGGAGCAAACTTCATGGAGGGGACCCTAAGACGGAGGTTCTTGGAGGACAACCACACCCTATCACCCGGAGCATAAGAAGGGGTCGCACCCCTATGGCGATCAGCGAACTTCTTCTGAGCAGCTGCTGAACGAGACAGCGCAATATGGACCTGATCCCACGTCTTCCGTAAAGAGGCGAGGTGCTGGTCCAAGGCGGGCATTCCCTTGTCAGAGAACGCTCCGGGAAGGACAGAAGGCCGAAACCCATAAGCAACCTCAAAAGGACTTAAGCCAGTAGACGAATGAGACACCGCATTCCTGGCAAATTCAGCCCACGGAAGAAGGCGAGACCAGTCGTCCTGGTGCGCATTAGTGAAGCAGCGCAAATACAATTCCACAGACTGATTAGCATGTTCGGCTGCACCATTAGATTGCGGGTGATAGGAGGAAGTGAACGACAAGGAGACCCCCATTTCAGCACAAAAGCCCCTCCAAAACCGAGAGACAAATTGCGGGCCCCTGTCAGAAACAATATCCTGAGGTACCCCATGCAAGCGGAACACTTCCTTGGCAAACACCTGGGCAAGCTGAATCGCAGAGGGTAGTTTCTTAAGTGGAATAAAGTGAGCCATTTTAGAGAACCTATCCGTCACAGTTAATATCACCGACTGACCATCAGAAGGAATAAGGTCTACAATAAAATCCATGGACAAGTGGGTCCATGGTTTCTTGGGTATAGATAGAGGCATCAGTAGGCCTTGGGGTCTCATATTAGGAGACTTACACTGCGTACAGACCCGACAAGCCTGAACAAAATCCACTACGTCTCGCTTGAGTGAAGGCCACCAGAACTGTTGAAGGAGGCTCTTATAAGTCTTGGTAACCCCCGGATGACCAGCAGTTTTGGCGGTGTGAAATAATGTTAACAACTTTTTTCTGTCACTTACTTTCACGTATAGTTTACCAACAGGCGTCTCCTGAGGCGCTTGGGTTTGGTATGTTTTAATATTCTCAAGGAAGGGAGATGAAACAACCAAACGGGTAGCAGCTATGATCTGAGAAGCTGGTACAATAGGTTCAGGGGTTGGGTTAACAAATTCTAAAGGTTCATACTGTCGAGAGATAGCGTCAGCTTTGGCGTTACGGCAACCAGGTCTATAAGTAATAATGTATTGGAATCGCGAAAGGAATAGAGACCATCTAGCCTGTCGGGCGGACAACCTTCTAGCATCGGCTATATAGGAGAGGTTCTTATGATCTGTTAGAACCATAATTTTGTGTCTAGAACCCTCTAATAAGTACCTCCATTCCTTAAAAGCTAACACAATAGCTAATAGTTCTCTGTTCCCAACATCGTAATTCTTTTCTGGATCAGACAACCTTTTAGAAAAGAAACAACAGGGATGGAGGGGTTCGTCATACGATAACCTTTGTGATAGTACTGCTCCCACCCCCGATTCAGAAGCGTCTACTTCCATAACAAAGGGAAGAGAAGGATTAGGGTGGTGTAGTACTGGAGCAGAGGCAAATGCTTTCTTGAGAGTTTCAAAGGCTTTAAGGGCTTCAGGAGTCCAAACCCTAGGGTGTAGACCTTTTTTAGTCAGCTTTGTGATAGGGGAGATAAGTGGTGAGAAGTTTTTTATAAATTTTCTATAATAGTTAGCAAAACCTATAAAACGCTGGATAGCCTTAAGTCCTTGGGGAAGTGGCCAGGACAGTATAGCTTCCAATTTAGCAGGATCCATACTAAAACCCTGTTCAAAAATTATATATCCCAGGAATTGCACAGAGGTCTGATCGAACAGACATTTTTCTAACTTACAATAAAGTCCGTTCTGTAATAATTTTTTAAGCACCATCCTAACATGTTTATGATGTGACTTCAAATCAGGAGAATATACAAGTATGTCGTCAAGGTACACCACGGCACAGACATGCAATAGATCCCTAAGGACATCGTTTATGAGATCCTGAAACACAGCAGGAGCATTACACAGTCCAAAAGGCATGACCAGGTATTCATAATGCCCACTACGCGTATTGAACTCTGTCTTCCACTCATCATTCTCCTTTATACGGATAAGGTTATAAGCCCCCCTGAGGTCTAGTTTAGTAAAGTACTTAGAACCTTTAACGCAATCAAACAACTCAGTGATGAGGGGGATAGGGTAGGCGTTTTTAACCGTTATATTGTTCAGACCCCTGTAGTCTATACACGGCCTCAAATCGCCCTCCTTCTTTGCCACAAAAAAGAAACCAGCACCAGCAGGAGAGGAGGACCTTCTAATAAAACCTTTCCTTAAGGATTCTCGTATGTACTCCTCCATGACTTGGTTTTCTTTCTCAGAAAGGGGGTAGACCTTACCCCTAGGGGGCATAGTGCCCGGTAATAGGTTTATGGCACAGTCATAGTCACGATGCGGAGGTAGCTTATCTGCCTCCCTCTTTTCAAAAACCAATGCAAGGTCTGCATATACAGAAGGAACAGAAACAGAGAGTGGTTTAGCCGTGGGCACGTTGAGTAAACAAACAGGACGTACATGAGCCATACAGTCTCGTTGACAGGATTCCCCCCAGGATAGTATATCCAAGCAACCCCAATCGAGAACAGGGTTGTGTTTCACTAACCAGGGAAAACCCAGAACGATGGAAGCAGTAGGGGAGTCAATTATTTGGAAGGTTAACCTTTCCTTATGCAAAACACCCACAGACATCACTATTTCTTGGGTCTCATGGGTCACCAGAGGTTTCTCAAGTGGTCTACCATCTATGGCCTCAACGACCAAGGGTGTGGCCTTTTGGATCAAAGTTAAGGCTGCGGTTTTAGCGAAGTTCTCATCCATAAGGTTGTCTGCCGCACCTGAATCGATCAAGGCTTTGGTGGTTATGGTGGTTTTATTGACCAAAAGAGAAACCGTAATAAACGGTCTGGAGATGGACACATGAGGGGACAAAGTCATAACACCCGAGGCCGACCCCTCTCTAGGCCTTAGGTGCTGTAGTTTCCCTGTAACTTAGGGCAGGCATTACAGTGGTGCCCCCTCTTTCCACAATAAAGGCATAACCCCTCCCTTCTACGATATGCTCTTTCAGCCTCAGTTAGCCCCGTAGCACCCAATTGCATGGGTTCGGGGGTTGGTTGACTAGGAGCGGGTAGTGCTAGTAAAGCAGTAGAGGGGGGAGCAGGTAATGCCTGTGTATCCATCCGTCTTTGACTACGCCTCTCTCTAATACGGTTATCAATAAGAATGACATAATCTATGACATCATCTAGAAGAACAGGCAATTCCCTGGATGCTATTTCATCCAGTATGTAGGCGGCAAAACCCTCCTGAAAGGCTGTTACGAGGGCGTCATTATTCCAAACCACTTCAGGTGCTAGCATGCGGAATTCGATAGTATAATCCGCTACAGATCTATTACCCTGTCGTACCCTAAGCAGAGCTTTGCCAGCAGAGGCAACCCTACCGGGTTGATCAAACGTATGTTTGAAAGCTGTCAAGAAATCTACAAAAGACATAGGAGATGTATTCTCCCACATGGGGTTAGCCCATGCTAAATCTTTCCCGGACAGGTGGTTAATCAAAAAGGCAATTTTGGATCTGTCAGTGGGATAGGAACGTGGATTCATCACCAAATGGATGTCAATTTGGTTAAGGAAACCACGACACAATGCTGGGTCACCGCTGTAGCGTTGTGGCGGTGTCATGTGAACAACATGAGCAGGAACGGGTACCGGAGTGGGAATGGGTTCGGGCACAGCAGCAGCAGCCTCCTGGACGGCAGGTTGCAAGTGTGCAGTACGAGCCAGTATGGTTTGTAAAGCTTGGGCAAACTGGTCCATACGGTGGTCCAAGCCATCCATTCTAGCCTCCTGATTAACTAGGAGCTGTGGTATGTCAGCAGGTTCCATTATGGCCCTGTTGTAATGTCACGATTCGGGGAACCAAACACACCAACACACACACACACACAAAGTGCCGTACCGGACCTTAGAGTGGCCGGGCTAAGCACACAAAGAATAGTCAGGAAACAAGCCGAGTAAGGGGAACCAGAAGACAGAATAACGATAGACAAGCCGAGGTCAAAGGGTAGGAGAAAGTCACAAAGTCGGATAACAAGCCAGGGAGTACGTAACCAGAAGCACAAGTTCAGAATCAATACTAACAAGCAAAGACCACAACAGGGCGAAGAGGAACAGGAAAGGTAAGTATATAAATCCAAAGGTTAATTCTGATTGGATAATTTCCAATCAGAATTAACAATCACACGTGGGAGATATCTAAACCTCCCACTGTGATTGAGGCACTGTGTCTTTAACGCTGGGTCAGGTGACTGACCCCGGCGTTGGTTAAAGTGGGCGGTCTCCCAGCGTGCAGCGTCATGCATGCTGCCGCTGGGAGACACAGAGGAAGAGACGGACGGCACCCGTGGGAGAGAGGGTGCCGCCCGCCGAGCACACGGCTGAAGGGGGACCGCGGACGGCTGGAGGGTGAGTGCCGCGAGCGGACTGCAGCCTCCCCTCGCAGCCGCCCGCGGGACCCTGACACACCCCCCAAATTCCCGGTTGCTGAAAACCCCTTCAGTAATTTACCAGAGGCAGTGATGATGTACCACGCCGCTGCTTCTTCCTCCACCGCTGCTCCTCCAGTGTTTGCGTCGGCCGGTGGGCGAGACTGATCCTGCCCACCGGCCGGGGAGACCTAATGCGCATGCGCAGCAATGCCGTGCATGCGCATTAGAGCTTCCCATAGTAAAGCATTGAAAATGCTTTCCTATGGGGAAATGAGCGACGCTGGAGGTCTAGGTCTAGTAGACAGCCACTAGAGGTGGAGTTAACCCTGCAAGGTAATTATTGCAGTTTATAAAAAATTGCAATAATTACACTTGTAGGGTTAAGAGTAGTGGGAGTTGGCACCCAGACCAGTCCAATGGGCAGAAGTGGTCTGGGTGCATGGAGTGTCCCTTTAACTGTGTATTGCCAGGATCTGACCAATGAATGGCGTAATATTTCAGATATAAAAGCCAGATGGCATAATCTTTACCATTTTAATGATTCTTAAATTCTTTGGCCCAAGCCCAAACACTGTTGGCTTAGTCCATATCCCTCACTAGGTTTTACAAAACCAGGAATTGTAATGGATTTAATACAGTTTCAAGTTAAAGTACAAACATCGAGTGGTTTCTGGAAGCTTTATCTGCTAGGAGTTGAAGAATGTTGGTGCAGGGGAGGTAGATTTTGAAGCAGGGCCAGATTAAGAGCCCAGTGGGTCTGGCGCTGAAAATTATGATGGGCCTAATTACAAAATCTTATCGACCAAAAACACTAAAACAGTCCTACCTCCCAAGCGTCATGTATCTAATGGAGATGGTGCTGGATGCAGTATTCAAAAACACATACCCTATGCTAATCTCATGCTTTCATCTTTCAAGTAAATTAATACCCCCTAACAGCAGTGTCCAGTAAAGCAGGAAGTCTATGGACGGGGTAAAAGGGTGGGCCACTGATGCAAATAACATAACCAGAACCACATAAGGGGCGAACATAACCAAAAAGGGGGCGTGTCTGTGTCCCCATGTCTCCCAGTGTCCCAATGCCACTAGGGGACATTGAGAGACATTGGGACACTGGGATATATGGGGGACACTGAGATACTAGGGAACACTGGGAGACCTGGGGACACAGACACTTAAGGACACTGGGAGACATGGGGACACTGGGTGACTGTGATACATAGGGGAGACTTGATAGACCTGGCTACTGGTCAAAATGTTGCGGTGTCCAATAAACCTGCTTAAATCTATCACAGTGAGTGCCTGAGATTTTTTTTTTATACTAGAGGACACTAAGACACTTGGGGGCACTGGGAGACTAGGGGACACTGAGACACTAAGGACACTGAGACACTATGGACACTAAGAGACACCAGGGACACTGGGAGACATGGAGCACTGAGACACTGTGATACATAGGGGACACTGTGATACATAGGGGACACTGGAGACTTGATAAAGACCTGGGTACAGGACGAAACATTGTGGTGTCCAATAAACCTGCTTAAATCTATCACAGTGAGAGCCTGAGATTTTTTTATTTTATGCTAGGGGACACTGAGACACTGGGAGATATGGGGACACTGGGAGACATTGGGACACTGGGAGTCTAGGGAACTTTGGGAGACTAGGAAACACTGAGACACTAGGGACACTGGCACACTACGGACAATGAGAGACACCAGGGACACTGAGATACACTGGCTGGGAGACTTTGGGACACTGGGAGTGCCCCATGTCTCCTAGGTCTCAAAGTCGCACAGGGTCCCCATGTCTCTCAGTGTCCCCTAGTGTTTCAGTGTCCCCTGGTGTTTGTATCCCAATGTCTCCCAGTGTCCCTTAGAGTCTGTGTCCCCATGTCTCCTAGTGTCCCCGTGTCACTAGGACACTAGGGGACACTTAGAGACCAGGGGACACTGGGAGACTCTGGGAGACTAGGGACATAGACACTAGGGACACTGAGAGACATGGGAACACTGGCTGGGAGACATGGGGACACTGAGAGACTAGGTGTCCCTTGTGTTCCCTTAGTTTCTCAGTGTCCCCATGTCTCTTAGTGTCCTAATGTCTTAGTGTCCCCAAGTCTCTCATCGTCCCCATGTATCAATGTTTCCCCTAGTATCTCTGTGTCCTCAGGTCTCCAAGTGCCCTCTAGTGTCTCAGTGTCACCAAGTGTCCCTATGTCTCTCCCAGTTTCCCCTAGTGTCTGTGTCCCCAGGTCTCCCAGTGCCCCCTAGTGTATCAGTGTCCCCTAGTGTCTCAGTTTCCCTGGTGTTTCCAAGTGTTCCCTAGTGCCTGTGTCCCCATGTCTCCCTGTAGCCTTTCCCCCCATCCCACACTTACCTGAGTTGTTGACTGTCTTTGAATAGTTTATTCTCTGTTTTTTATGCTCTCTTTTAGGCAATGTATCGTCATATGTCGATATCTTGGAGCGGGAAAAGAAACATTTCCGTAACACTTTTTATCCTTATCTTTTGTCTCTTCTATCATTCTGCCCATTGTGTTTTGTACATTGAGAGAAAGAATAAAATAAAGTAAATATTCATGTAAGAACAGGACAAAACATCTACCAAAAGAAAAAAATCACGAAAAACAAATATATCTTAACACATATTCTAACACGAGCTTAGCTAATTACTACAGTTGACATCCTACTAATCCTACAAATCACTGAGCTGACCAAGATTAGTGGAACAACAGTACATGTGTGTTAACACATTAACCTAACACACTAATCCTAGCCTAAATATCACGTAATGTAAAAGTTTCATGACAGCAAATCGTGTAGTATGGGAAAAGACCTATTGATGTTCTGGGGACATTTGTAAGCCACTTGATTTTCAGTCTTTTCACCATAGAGAGTCTGAGACACACACACACACACACACACTAACACCAAATACCACATTAAATTCAGTAAATTTAAATTTTTAGAGATTAAATGTTATGTGTGCACCCCTACATATTGTGCATGGCATGCTTAGATATAGTCAATAATTCTTTCATGAATGCTGTGCCTTAGGCAAGGTTTATGTTTTCCTATGATCAGGGCTGCACTGGGAAAAAGATTTGGCCCAGGCATTTTTAATCACAGTGGCCCACTTAAAGGCGGCAGGGTCAGATAGGGTGTGTTTTGTCATCCCCAATGACTAGCACGCCCCATCTCAAAGTGAGCATGTTGCCTCTTCCAGGGCAGACCATGTGCAGAGATCTAGCATGAGAAAAAGGCCCTGTATTTGTTCTTCGCAGTGCAAGCAAATTTAACAACATGCTTTCGTTGTGTTTGCTTGAAACTCGTCTCCAGGGACGGACAGGGAAAAAAATTCGGCCCGGGCATTTTTTTATCACAGCGGCCCACTAAGAAGGGGGCGGGGCAGAGAGGGTGTGTTTTGTCATCACTCATGACAATCACGCCCCCTCTCAAAGTGAGCATGTTGGTTCAATGCTCTTCCAGGGCAGACCATGCACAGAGCTCTGCTGAAGAGCTCTAGCATGAGAAAAAAGCCCTGTATTTGTTCTGCGCAGTGCAAGCAAATTTAATAACATGCTTGCACTGTGTTTCCTTGCAACTTGTCTCTGGTGTCTCTATAAATAGATACCAGGAGACAAAAGGGCCAGGAAAGACTATTGTGCATGTGTTTGGAGCCTGCTTGGGGTATTGCGTGTGTGCAGAGTGAGCTGGTCGTGGTGTGGTATTGTGTAATAAGGTCTGTTTTACTCGTGTTGTGTTTGTGGTGTAATGTAATGCATATGTGGCTAGGGGCTTTAGAGAATGTGTGTTTAGGGGATGTAGCAAGTGTGTGTATACAGGCTATAGTGTGTGTGTGTAGGTGATGTAGTGTTTGTAGAGAGTGTGTGTTCAGGGAATGTAGTATGTGTTTGCTTACAAGGAATCTAGTGTGCGTATAGGGGATCCAGAGTGTGTGTGTTTGAAGGACCCAGAATATGTATAGGAGATCTAGTGAGCGTGCGTATATAATGGATTCAGAGTGTATATAGGGATCTAGTGTGTGTATGTGTGTAGATGATCCAGAGTTGGGTAGAGGATCTAGTGTGTGTCTGGAATGAAATGTGTTTAGGGGTGCTGTGTGTGTGTGTGTGTGTGTGTGAGGGGTGCTGTGTGTAAATTTATATGTGTATATATATTATATAAATATGTTTGGAAGTATTGTGTATGTGTGTGATGCAGTGTATCGGGGGGGTTGTGTGTGTGTATGTGAGGGGTGCAGTATGTGTGTGTGATGGATCCTGTGTATGAGGTGTGGGTGCTGTGTGAGGGTGCTGTGTGTGTGAGGGTGCTGTATGTGTGGGTGCTGTATGTGATTGATTTGTGTGAGGGTGCTGTGTGTGTGGGTGCTGTGTATGATGTGTGTGAGAGTGTTGTGAGTGCTGAGTGTGAGTGCTGAGTGTTATGTGTTTGAGAGTGATGTGTGAGAGTGCTGAGTGCTGTGTGTGTGTGTGTGTGATAGTGCTGTGTATGTGTGTGAGAGTGCTGTGTGTGTTGTGTGTGAGAGTGCTGTGTTTGTTGTGTGTGAGAGTGCTGTGTGTGTTATGTGTGCAGAGTGTGATGTGTGTGAGAGTGCAGAGTGTGAGAGTGCTGTGTATGATGTGTGTGAGAGTGCAGAGTGTGATGTGTGTGAGAGTGCTGTGTATGATGTGTGATGTGTGTGAGAGTGCAGAGTGTGATGTGTGTGAGAGTGCTGTGTGTGATGTGTGTGAGAGTGCTGTGTGTGAGAGTGCTGTGTATGATGTGTGTGAGTGCAGAGTGTGATGTGTGTGAGAGTGCTGTGAGTGTGAGAGTGCTGTGTATGATGTGTGTGAGAGTGCTGAGTGTGAGAGTGCTGTGTATGATGTGTGTGAGAGTGCTGAGTGTGAGAGTGCTGTGTATGATGTGTGTGAGAGTGCTGTGTATGATGTGTGTGAGAGTGCAGAGTGTGATGTGTGAGAGTGCAGAGTGTGATGTGTGAGAGTGCTGTGTATAAATGTGTGTGGGGGGGGGTAAATAAAGAAATAAATAAAAAAAACTAAGTAGGCATTAAATCCCCCCTCCCTCTTACCTTTAGCCTGGGAGGGGGGGACAGGCACGTGGTAGCTGGGAGGAGGGGGACCGGCACGGTGACATCATCCCTGGTGGTCCAGTGGTGAGTGAACTCTAGCCTGAGGGCTAGAGTTCACTCTCGCGAGATCGGCGCGTTGCCATGGCAATGCGCCGGATCTCGTGAGAGGAACCGGGCGGAGCTACAAGATAGCGCTCCGCCGAGTCCTCTCCCTCCCCAGCCGCAGGTCTATTGAAATGGGCCGGTGAGGGAGATCTTTGATCTCCCCACCGGCCCTCCATGGCAAACAGCGGGGCCGGCGCTCGGATAGTGCCGGCCCTGCATAGACCGGCAGGGGAGATCCTGTGACCTCCCCTGCTGGCCTCGGCCCATGGCCACCGCGGCCCACCGGGCATTTGCCCGGTGTGCCCGATGGCCAGTCCGGGCCTGCTCGTCTCTGGTGTCTCCATAAATGGGATAACCTGGAGACAAAAATGCCAGGAAAGAGTACTGTGCATGTGTTTGGAGCCTGCTTAGGGGATTGCGTGTGTGTAGAGTGAGCAGATTGTGGTGTGGTTTTGTGTTACTAGGTTGGTTTCAGTCATGTTGTGTTTGTGGTGTAATGTAATGTATGTGTGTCTAGGGGCATAGTGTGTATAGGAAATGTAGCGAGTGTGTGCATACGGGCTATAGTGTGTGTATAGGTTATGTAGTATGTGTAGGGGTTAAAGAGAGTGCGTGTTTAGGGAATGTAGTATGTGCTTGCTTACAAGGAATCTTGTGTGTGCATAGGGGACCCAGAGTGTGTATGTCAGAAATGTAGTGTGTGTAGAGGGATCAGAGTGTACATAGGGATCTAGTGTGTAGATGATCCAGAGTTGGGTAAAGGATCAAGTGTGTATCTAGAATGTAATGTGTTTAGGGGTGCAATATGTGTGTGAGGGGTTCTGTAGTATATATACCTATATGTTTGGAAGCATTGTGTGTGAGAGTGGTGCAGTGTGTTTGGGGGCTGCTGTGTGTATGTGTGAGGTGTGCAGTGTATATGTGTAAGGGGTGCAGTGTGTGTGAAGGTGCTGTGTGTGAAGGTGCTGTGTGTGTGTGTTTGTGTGAGGGTTCTATGTGTGTTAGAGTACTGTGTGAGGGTTCTATGTGTGTGTGTGTGTATGTGAGTCAGGATGCTGTGTGTGTATGGAGGGATTGTGTGCTGGGGGGAGGCAGGTTGATGCCAATATATATGTAATTATTTTTTAATAAGAAAAAACAAGCATTGATGGCATCCCTCCTCCTTTCTTAACATTAGCCTGGGAGGGGGGAAAGTACTGACATCCCTGGTAGTCCTAGTGGTGAGTGAACTCTAGCCTGTGGGGCTAGTGTTCACTCTCGCGAGACCAGGAGAGTTGCCATGGCAGGCTCCGGATCTCGAGAGAGGAACCCAGCGAAGCTGCAAGATAGAGCTCCCCGGGTTCTCTCCTCTCTCCCTCCATCCCCAGCTGGCGGCCGCATCACACTGACTTCTTTGATCTCCTCACTGGCCCGTCTTGGAATAGAGTGGGGCCGGCACTCAGATAGCACGGGCCCTGCATGAATTGGCCGGGGGGATCCTGTGTTATCCCCTGCCGGCCTCAGCCCATGGCCATCGCGGACCACAGGGCATTTGCCCGGTGTGCCCGATGGCCAGTCCGGTCCTGCCTATGATATACAGATATAAGACAACTACTGAAAAAAAAATGCATGTAGTATAACACAGACTAGACTAGTGTGACGAAACGCCTTTTGTCACCGGATTTTCCCCTGGCTGTTGGAGGAGCCTGATTGCCAGCCTGACTATGGCCCTGGGTTATTTGGCCCTTCAAGTACAATATTTGGGCATATTGGATTTGTATGGTGCTGCTGCTGGCCCTTTAAAAACCATCCCTGGACATATTATGACTTTTAGGAACGATGTCCCTTTAAGACTGTGTAGCAGATTGCATTCAGGCGGTCTGCAATATTATATATGCTATTATGTGTTCGGTAAATTGGAAATGTGTAGGTTCTACGTGATAAATGTAACAGTATGTATTTTTATGTCTTTTGTTGTCCTTTGTCTGCCATGTGGCTAATGGAGTTTTGCCTCTGTCCTTGGAGATAATTGCATTACTTCTCAATTATCTCCAGAATAGAAGACTCTGAAACCAGTTTGGGCCAGATATCCATGCTGCCAGCCAGGCCCCAAAAGATACTTGTGCTAACTTCTGCACCCCTGGTCTGATTCAGGCCATTTTTTAATATGTTGTTCCCCTGAATGGATTGATTGTGAATATGTAGTTTTATGTGAATGTGATGTTTAGTTTTAGAGTTATGAAAGTTGGGTAAAAAGTATGTTTTAAAATGTATGGATAATTGGGTTACCTCTCAGGCTAAGGGGAGGAGATGTGTGGGATGTAACCATTGTGTGATTGGTTGTACTGTGTCCCACCCAGTGGAATGTCCCCTTGCATGGGGACCTGCATAAAAGAAGGTTCTTTGTGTGCCAATCATCTTGTACCTTCATGAAGTTTTGGCTCATGTTTGGGGGATTGGAGAAACTACACTCTGGGGATTGCTATAATCACTATACTCCCCAGGGTATAATCACTAAGCTCTGCTAAGAGCTTGTTCCTGTTCCTGCTCTCTGGAATTCGGAGAGAGGTCGACCTGCTGGAAGCTGGACCCTGGTCCTGGGTCCAGAGTGGGTGGAGACGGCGAGACCCCAACCAAGCTGCGGCGGTTCGTGGGGTCTGCAGTGGTTATGGTGTCAGGCAGAGTGCTTGGAGTCCTCGGAAAGCACTAGGAGCATCCGTCGGCGGAAGGTACCCGGTCGGGGTGCCAGCGGTTCCGTTACAACTAGAAACTATTTCATCTAGAAGATGCTGTTTAATGTCTAATATAATAATTTATGGGGGGGTGTGGCCGGGTTGCTGACTAAGTTGGCTGCTTCATCTTGTCGCTCCTCTGATCACGAAAACCTGCAAACAAAACCTGCTATGAGGAAGAGCTCGAGAACCATGGGTACCCCTAAAGCCTTGGGGTCCAATCCAACTTCTTTGCATACTTCCATGAGGCCTTACCTGGCCATACCGACAGATCTTGCCTCCTAACCAGCCCCTGAGGCCTTCTCCTGCTCAGAGTCCTCGATGCCGCAATCGGCCTCATCGAGCAGAGATGCACCTTCGGCGACGCCTCCGTCCAACTGGCTAACCCTCATCAACTCATCAAAGCGCTCCTGACACGTGCTGACCTCAAAGATGCTTCTATCAGGGCCGACCTCCAGATAATGAGATCTGATCTCCAGAGACTTTCGACTGCATGGCACATGTTGAGGCCAACCATGACAATCTCATGGCGGCCCAGATGGCCACTACATCTACCCTAGATCTATCCACATTGCGGATCTCGTCAATAGAGGGCACCGCCATAACCCGAGACTGTGCGGCCTACCTACATCCATGCAGCAACTCATTCAGAGTCTGACTATGATATTCAATACTCTCCTGCAATTGACTTTGTCAGGGAATACAAGGAATTGCAACCGAGGGGGCCTACGGATTCTCCCCCAAGAGATCTGAGATGTTGTCTCTCGCATTATGCCCTTAAAGAGGATATACTGCAAAGGGCGCATAAAACAGTCGCCATCTCACACGACGGGCATTCCCTTCAATTGTTTCTAGACTTCTTCAGGCAACACTAGGCTATCGCAGGGCCCGTAAGCCCCTAACCTGAGCTCTGGTCTTGCAAAAGCTGCACTACAGATGGACTTTCCCGACTGGCCTGGTGGTCTTTGCTCCTGATGGCCCCAGATCTATCCGGAATCAACAAGACTTTAAAGATCTATCGGCCATAGTTTAACTGAAAACCATCCACATGAACTGGCCTGACCCTGGACTTTTACCTCCCCTCGCCATCGTTCCAGATGGAGCTGAATTCCACATAGATGACTCAGGCCACGTACTGGTTACTAATCAGAGTCATGACAGGGGGTGGGTAGCTAAATGGACTTATGGTCCCCCTTACAACATTCTTTGAGACATGACCTGAAGGATAATGGCAGTCATGATCCGGCCCAGGATTACCTTACTACACCTGGCCTGACCTGCGCTGGTTCTCACTGGGTGGGATGGGTACTGGGGCTCCCCTTGTGGCAGAAAATATGGATTTGTACACAGAGGCCACCACACCAGGAACTGCTACCTGTGCGGGAGCGGATTGGGGAGGATGCCGTTGGTGGGACTCATATGTTGTGTAACTGCACTGTCTCCCCGGGACGGGGGGCCCTGGGGACGTCTGCTGAGAGTGGGTGCCTTGGGCCCCTCACAAAGTAGATTCTTTAGTGGAACACGGGATTGCATGCCCCTTTGCCGTTCTCTCCATCCCCTCTATATGACGGTATAGGCAGTGGCAGGCAGGGATTTGGAAGGGGGTATTTGGGAGTCGTTGACTTAGGTAGCCTAGAGGGACACTGATGGCGCTATGCCTTCTCCTTACACTTACACCAGGACTGATTGGGGAGGGGATACACAAGTTTAGATCTCGCTTGATGAGGGACCTGAGTTAAAGCCAATGTATGATATCAATGTATATAGTTTGAAGGTTCTCTTCTTACTGGTTCCTAAGGGACCTAACTTATTAGACACGTTTTCAACGTTCTGTGACATGAGATGGCCGGGATCCCCTTTGTGGAGTTCCCTTTCCATGAAGGTTTTATTACGTCTCTTCAGGCGAGGCTGCTCCGCAACACCGAGACCGACAGTCATTGGAGTTCTGGTTCCGGGTTATTTAGTTCTGTTTAGAAATTAAAGCGGCCTGGCTGCGCTTCCCACCTGACCTGGGTGTCAGATTTGTAGTAAAGCATTTAGGTGACATGACAGGTTTGGTTCACAAACTTTGACCCAACTGACACCTTTGTCTCATGACTATACAACTTTGCCCTAGTTTGCTTTGGGAGACACATCCAGACACCATTTTGTGTCTCATGACTATACAACTTTGCTACTGCCCTAGTTTGCTTAGGGAGACACATCCCGACCCCTCCATTCCCCTTTTTTTCTTCTTCTTCCTTCTCTTTCTTTTTCTCTCCTCTCTCTCGCATTTTCCACATCATGGCGCTTAGCCCTACTGTGACGAAGTGCCCTTCACCACTTGGTCCTGGAGAAGCCTACTTGCCAGCCTCCTCCCCTGTGACTATGACTCTTTGATGTATTTGGATTTAAAGACCCTATTCTACCTTCAGACAGACTATTTATGTAGGTTGCTTTATTTCTCTTATGTTTTAGTCACCCTGTACCCATTATAGGTGCAGGGTGTGTGTAATGTAATTGTTTATAGTGTGTGTGTGTGTACTGTGTAATGTATTGCCTGCTCTCCTGTACTGCTGCAGTTTGCTACCAACTAGGTGGGTTTGGCTATGGAGCTTGTCTAGTGCCCTCTGTTGGTAGCAACATCAATATGCACTACCTGAATAGCAAGACTGGTTCATTTGCATATTCAGGTAGATTTGCATATTGCTAATTCTGCAGACACGTGAGATATTTTCTGTTAAATATTGTCTCCCCCACCCCTTTAAAAATGTGCCATTGTGTTGTGATAAGAAAAAACGATTATAAATAGGATGGCGCAAGTGAGAGAAGGATCTTAGTACATGCAGCCACCAACAAAAACAAATCCTGGTAAAACGATTTGAACATAAAATAACTTACAGTAGTGATGGTGCGCAACAACAGAGAAATAAAAATCGTATTCACTATGGACCTCTTATAGAGAGTGAAAGTAACCCTGTGTACATAAAATGAGGTGTTTACAGAGTGGAAATATTATAAATACTTTAAAACCAAACAGTGGTTGTGGTAAAACAAAGCACAATCTGTAGGTATACTTGCAAACATGGAAATCACTCTGACACCTATTAAGGAGACAAAAACAGAAAGAGAGCTCCTAGTGCAGCATAGCATTTCGCTTATAAATAAAATAAAGCAAACAGAGGTGCCCTTTAGGTGTTACACTCACAAGATTGGAGTGGTAAAAGCACCACTCGTTGCTATAGCACTCAGGGAGGATCAGCCCCTAGAGTGCGTGGGATCCGTGGAAAGGAAGCTTGCAATCCGGATCTCAGGTAAGTATACTTTATTAATAACAATTAAAAAACAGCAAAACTTGTTGTGGAGTTAGTTAGTCCGCTCACCAGCACACTGTGTGTTGCCTGCTATGGTTTGACTGTTTGTGATTTTATTGAGTTTTCACAGCAATGTTAATGTTGTGACCCTATGGGCTGGTCCCAAGGGAAATAAAGGTTTAGACAGTTCTTCTTGATCCCTCTAAACGTAGCCTTGTCTCGTTATTGGAGGGAGCTGTTATAATCACACTGGGGATTGCTATGCTCTGCATACTCCCCTGAGCTTGAATCACTTAGCTCTTTTAAGAGCTTGTTCCTGACACACTCTCCTTGGAGGAGAGGTCTTCACCACACAGTCCTGGATGCTGGAGGTTCATACAGGGTGGAAGGAAGAGGTCTTTCCCACACGGTCCTGGAGGACAGAAGCTGATCCAGGGTGGAAGGAAGACGGCGAGACTCCAGTCGAGCTACAGCGGTTGCGGAGTCTGCGGTGGTTGTGGTGTCTGCTGCAGTGTTTGGAGTCCTCAGGAAGCGCTAGGAGCATCCTTCAATGGAGGTACCCAGTCAGGGTGCCAGGTGATCCGTTACACCTACTCATAGGCAAACTAAGATCAACCTTCTCTGCATCAGCGCACAAGTTCTCAACAAACCTGAAAAACAATCACATGCAGATCTTAGATAAGCTATACACACTTGCTAACATATATGTTCCAAACAAGAACAAACATAAGTTCCTGAGAAGGGCCCTGGGAGCAATCCCTGATTTCACGGAGGGATGACTTGCATTAGGGTGCGATCTTACCGTTGCACTATAAACACGCATTGACATCTTATTAGACCCATTTCACAGACCCTACCCGCCTGGTAGACTGTTGGAGAGCCACACATCTTGACGAGAAAGACTTGGTCCCCTTTGCCTGTGGGAGACGCATAAATGTGTAATACACAGATACTTCATAGTGAAGGGAGCAGCCTTAAAAAAAAGACAAAAGTGCGAGACTCCTCTCCCTACTTGCAGAAATATGCACACAAACAATCCCTCCTTCACACGGACTGGACTAAACTGGTTGCCCTACGAACGGGAACTGTCAACCATGCTAAATTCCTCTTGCCAGAGAGCATACACGCAATCCAAAGCCTTTTTCTATACCTCTGCCAACAAATGCTACGCCTTGTTGGCTCGCATTATCACAAAAAAAAGGACGACCTTTACTCTCTTCTTACACCCGCGCAGTCGCATACAGGTGATGCACAAGGTCGTCACATCACTGTACGTATAGAGACACACACAAGCAGATGCCTTGACCAAGCAGCAGTCGAGGAGCTGGAGCCTAGCCCTAGCTATCAAGACCACTAAACTAAGTCAATGCAGGGTCCGGTCTGTCTCCCTAAACGATACTACCAACAATTTGCGTATGTTCTTTCCACCCACCTTCTTCAGGCGTTAACTCCATTAGAGAGGGGGCGAGCATACCAAAACTGACCCTGGCCGCCATTATCTCCCCTTATACCCAAAGAGGGCAAGGACACGCGAACTACCGCCCGATCTCCCTACTAAATTGTGATCTAAAATTGTTTACTAAAAATCTTGTCCCAATGACTGCAAAAATACAGGACCAAGTGGAGTTCACCCCTAAGAGAGAAGCACACGACAGCACAATCAGAGCTCTATTTCTCATACATTACTCTCAGGTCAAGTCGGTGGGCCTTCTCCTGCTCTCTACTGACTCAGAGAAAACCTTTGACAGGGTGAGCTGAGACTTTTTGTTTGAGGTACTCCGGACATTGGGGATGGGCCCCTTCATGCTGAAGTGGATACGATCCCTATACACACCACCGATGGTCAGGCTGAGCGTTAACAAAGTGTTCACAGACCCCTTTCTGATCCGAAATGGGACTCGCCAGGGTTGTCCCCTATCGCCTCTGCTCTATGTCCGTGCCCTTTAACCCTTTCTCAATGCCATACCAAACAACCCAGACATCAGGGGACAAACATCAGACATTAGGGGACAACAGTAGGCAAACTATGTATTCGGTCTCAGCGAATGCTGATGACCTATTATATTTTGTCACAAACCTCACTTCCTCCCTGCCGGCTATTATGTCGTAGTTTGAATATTATGGTGCCCTGTCTCAAATCTCAAAAAGTGGTTACCTCTCCAATGGACAGACACCACTCTAAAATATCTGGGCATCTGGATAACTAGAGATCTCACAAAACTCCACCATGCAAACCTACCACTACTAAACGCCCTACGCAAAAACCTAGAGGAGTTGTCCAGGCTACATCTCACTTGGTTCGGCAGGGCGGGGGTTATCAAAATGAACATCTTGCCCAGGCTTCTATACAGGGAGTGCAGAATTATTAGGCAAATGAGTATTTTGACCACATCATCCTCTTTATGCATGTTGTCTTACTCCAAGCTGTATAGGCTCGAAGCCTACTACCAATTAAGCATATTAGGTGATGTGCATCTCTGTAATGAGAAGGGGTGTGGTCTAATGACATCAACACCCTATATCAGGTGTGCATAATTATTAGGCAACTTCCTTTCCTTTGGCAAAATGGGTCAAAAGAAGGACTTGACAGGCTCAGAAAAGTCAAAAATAGTGAGATATCTTGCAGAGGGATGCAGCACTCTTAAAATTGCAAAGCTTCTGAAGCGTGATCATCGAACAATCAAGCGTTTCATTCAAAATAGTCAACAGGGTCGCAAGAAGCGTGTGGAAAAACCAAGGCGCAAAATAACTGCCCATGAACTGAGAAAAGTCAAGCGTGCAGCTGCCACGATGCCACTTGCCACCAGTTTGGCCATATTTCAGAGCTGCAACATCACTGGAGTGCCCAAAAGCACAAGGTGTGCAATACTCAGAGACATGGCCAAGGTAAGAAAGGCTGAAAGACGACCACCACTGAACAAGACACACAAGCAAATGTCTCAAGACTGATTTTTCTAAGGTTTTATGGACTGATGAAATGAGAGTGAGTCTTGATGGGCCAGATGGATGGGCCCGTGGCTGGATTGGTAAAGGGCAGAGAGCTCCAGTCCGACTCAGACGCCAGCAAGGTGGAGGTGGAGTACTGGTTTGGGCTGGTATCATCAAAGATGAGCTTGTGGGGCCTTTTCGGGTTGAGGATGGAGTCAAGCTCAACTCCCAGTCCTACTGCCAGTTCCTGGAAGACACCTTCTTCAAGCAGTGGTACAGGAAGAAGTCTGCATCCTTCAAGAAAAACATGATTTTCATGCAGGACAATGCTCCATCACACGCGTCCAAGTACTCCACAGCGTGGCTGGCAAGAAAGGGTATAAAAGAAGAAAATCTAATGACATGGCCTCCTTGTTCACCTGATCTGAACCCCATTGAGAACCTGTGGTCCATCATCAAATGTGAGATTTACAAGGAGGGAAAACAGTACACCTCTCTGAACAGTGTCTGGGAGGCTGTGGTTGCTGCTGCACGCAATGTTGATGGTGAACAGATCAAAACACTGACAGAATCCATGGATGGCAGGCTTTTGAGTGTCCTTGCAAAGAAAGGTGGCTATATTGGTCACTGATTTGTTTTTGTTTTGTTTTTGAATGTCAGAAATGTATATTTGTGAATGTTGAGATGTTATATTGGTTTCACTGGTAATAATAAATAATTGAAATGGGTATATATTTGTTTTTTGTTAAGTTGCCTAATAATTATGCACAGTAATAGTCACCTGCACACACAGATATCCCCCTAACATAGCTAAAACTAAAAACAAACTAAAAACTACTTCCAAAAATATTCAGCTTTGATATTAATGAGTTTTTTGGGTTCATTGAGAACATGGTTGTTGTTCAATAATAAAATTAATCCTCAAAAATACAACTTGCACTGCACTCCCTGTACCTGTTCGAGGCTCTGCCTATCACCATACCTGCAGCATTCTTTACCTCCCTCCGCTCAATGGTCCTTAGGTTCATCTGGCAAAAACTCAAAGCACGCATTAAAAATGATACCTTCACACTGCCGAAGTCCGAGGGTGGCCTGGCACTATCCAATTTTAAATTGTGTTTAGTGGAATGGTCCAAACGAGGAGTTAAGAAATGATGAAAGGATGTCGAGTCGACACTGCTCACCAGACCAATTGAACAGATCCCTAGCCCCACTAGATTATCTGAGATGCTGAAATCAGCTGATCCCTGCCCTCCAATAACAGTGAGGAATAGGCAATTTAAGCCCATTTCTGTATTCCCTCTTTGCCCTGTCGTGGGTTCCATCCTGTTTGGTTATCCGAGAGTTCATTCCTGTATTTGTTCTTTCTGGTTTCTGATCTTGGCTTGTTCTGACGATTCTTACTTTTCTGGCTTGGACTTTCGCTTTTGCTTCTTTCTGTATTCCCTGACCTCGGCTAATGGCTGGTTATTCTTTTTACGTTAATTCCGGTCATACTAAGGCCTGGTAATATGTTTTACCTTAGTTTATTATTTTACCTAATTGCTAATTGCTAGATGGCTAGATCATCCTCAGAGCCAGCAAATGGCAGCCCCCAGTCCTTTCATTAAGGCTACTATACAGATCTGGCAGTTGCAGGCCACTAATCTTACTCTCGCCACATACCCATCACCTGTACTTACAGTGGTACACAACTCCACCTTCCCCCCAGGGACTGGAGGCTAGAGCCTTTTAGGGACTGTTGGGAGAAGCACTCCCACAACTCTGTCATGTCCTCCATGAGGGGAGATTCGACCTTTGGCAACTTTGCATGTGGCAGACTCCCTGAACTTCATGCATCGCTTCAGATACCGCCAACTGGAGAAATTTGTCTCTTCCATCCCTCACGGACGTACCCAATGGTGAGAGGACTATCTTTGCTATACGGTATGCTCCTTAGGCTGCCACCACCAAGCTTCATTGGGAAATGAGAACAAACATTGGGAATCAAATTCACGCCAACCCAAAGGTAAACAATTTGTGACCTTACCCAAAACTGCACGATTTCTAGTGGTGTGCAAGAAATGGTCTACAAATTACTCTCACTATGGTACCGGACTCCACAGACCATAGATACCTTTGACTCTAACACGGACAATAGGTGCTGGAGATGCGGAACAGAGCCAGGCGCTCTCATTCACCTATGGTACTATGGTAGGAATGCCGGCTGATATAACGCTATTGGGAATCTATACACAAAATAATCCTCAAATTCTCTGACAAGTTCCCCCCCCCCCCCCGAAACTGGCACCTTTCCTCCTACATCACATGGATAGCTAATGTAGTGAAAAGCTTTATGTTACGGCACCCCCAGACATAAAATGGTTAAACCGTCGTTTAGTAGATCTTCCCTTCCAGAGACACAGGCACAGCTACTGCAGAACACCAAACCGCCGAACAGGAAACCATATGAATGCTGTAAACAGCTGAATAGGAAAAAACATACAAATAGGTTTACACTCCTAGCAGTCAAACTGGAACAGCATACAATAAATCCCCCCAAGAATGAGACAAAGCTCCGTGTTGAGGGTCAAGCAGTGAACAGTCAGAGCTGTGGGTTTATTGTGCTTATGTACACATTCTTACACATTAGTACCACCCACAGGGTTTTGGAACAAAACCAATAAACACATACAATACATTCAGACACTCCCACACAAAATCCTCCCCTCTGCCTGTGATACAATTACCTTACACAATGGGTAATGTAATTATAACAAGCAGAGAAATACAATTTTTCCACATTATTCATAACTTGACAAGTATGCATCACATTCACATTTTCAGAATCAGCATACTCCAAATACAAACATATGTCAAAATCATCCAAATTGGTTCAGTGGTTCAAAAGATAGATTGTAGTCCTTTGTGACCAAAGGAAGCATGGCTTTTCTGCCCAAAACCAGTTCCACAGAGTCTTCTATCCTGGAGATAATTGGGAAGTAATCCAATTATCTCCAAAGACAGAGGCAAAACTCCATTGAACACATGGCAGCAATAGACAATAAAACACATAAAAACATAAAACTGTGCAGCCATTGCACAAATCAGGTACATTCAACATATCCCCAGATAGCTCAGATCTGAGCGCACATTATTACTGAATGGCGCTCAGAGCACACACATACAGTTCAATTTCCATGGAGCCAAAGTCTTTCCCATAGTCTTTCATTATACGAATGGGCTCCATGGCATAGCTATCTGGGGTATCACCGCTCAAACAGGGCAAGTACCAAATGACCCGGCTTTCATATCTTTGCAGGGGAAAATCAAGCCT